CAGGAAATGCACTAGGGTGTTTCGGAATCCTGAAATGCACTAGGGCATATCGCGATATGCACTGAATCCGGAAATGCACTACAACATTTCCACGTTAAATCACAGTAGCTAATATTTGTGGTCAAGGGATCGATAATGTTTTGTGTTCAATGCCAGCGCGGAGCTAGGCTGGTCGCCAACATGAATCATCACCTCTTCCTTTTACCAATACCACTCAACCATGAACCCAACCAGCAATCCAAACAATCCTCCTTTCCCAGCAATCTCTTCTTCTCTTCAACAGAGAGACACAACCATTTCAACCGCAACAAAAGAGATCACCCAACTGACATGTCAATTGATGGAGAACCTCAATCGGCGTTCGACGGCATTAGCGAATGGAGCCAACTTTGATCTTGCTTTGCGCGATGCAGCCGTTATGAGGGTTATCATCCCAACATCGTCTCTTGGATACCTGAAAGCAGGCAACATCTACCAGCAACGTGGACAGCACAAAGAAGCAGTATCGATGTATGAGGAAGGCCTCTTGAATGTACCATCAGGCGATCAATGTTACACCAACCTCGAAAAGGGCCATGCTGATGCAGCCAATGCAGCTTACAACAGCATCGATTTCATCAGCCAGTTACCTTTGGATATTGTTGAGTCAAAGATATTGCCTTTGGTGTTTCACGACTACAAGCTGGAAGCAGATACTCCTTGTCCTTATCTTTATGTATCACGCACATGGCGACAACGTATCCAGCAATGCAACAACTTGAGCTTCCATATCAATCGATTACCAATCGACCAGCCATTCCAATTCCGTGAGCTGGAAAGGTTTTCAGCACATGTGAAAACATTGTCCATGGCAGCAGGGAGACAGGTTACATTTTCAGCCTTCAATGGATGCGACTTTTCCAATCTCACCAGCCTGTCAATGATATGTAAGTGATGGATGGCCGAGCATCAACGTGTTACTTAACCTATCTCCTTCAGCGCACGGGAGTGAAGAAGCCGACATTATACATGCTCTTGAATCTGTGCAACCAACGCTGACTCACCTGGTGCTGTATACGGTGAATGAAAACACACCTCGAATCCATTTGCGTGGCGTTTTGGAACTTTGTCCCAATCTTGTGTCTTTGAAGCTTACGACTTTGACTCTGCATCCTCTCTCAGTGCAATACCCAAAGTTAACGCACCTCACTTTGAGCGCTGACATTGTTACGAATTCTCATGAAATGGTTATCAACATCCTCTCTCATCTTCCATCACTCGTGTACTTGGATATCTTTTATGTTCCAGATTCGCAATTTCTTACCAGCGTTTGTCAATATTGCCCCAACATGAAGTTATTGAAATGTGGCCCTTCCCACGTTTTCAATGAGGACAACGATGATCGGGATGTTGACGGCTTGCAAAAGCTATTTTTTGGATATCACGACGTCTACAGGATGCACAATGCCGATGCCCTCATTCGACTGTTACATGACAACCATCAGTCTCTCAACCACGTCGTATTGACAGGAAAAGTATTTGCTGCTGAAAGCATTACATTGGATGAAAAAAGCTGGGACGCATCATTGAATTTCAATTGTTTGGAGGAATTTGAGGTCGATGCTCTCAATGATCAACTTGCTCTGCTCGCCATGTCTATCATACGTCGATCACCACATCTTCATCGCGTCACGATCGGCAATCATACAGCCAACCAACATTACATATCCAATGCAGTGAAAGGATTGACGAGCTTGCAAATGCTTTCAGCAATACAACTGACAAGGGCTTCACAATGGCTTTCCAATATTCTTGAACACCACGTACAGCTTGGCAAGGATTCAACCTTAAAGGAGCTAAAGATCGACATGGATTACAATGATGAATCGACGTTTAATTGGATGCATGCTATTGGCGGATTGAAAACCTTGCAAAGACTTGTCATATCAACACCTGCCATCGATGCACCTTCGGACTATGTATCTGCCATGGCAACGATCAAGGGATGCCCATCTCTTTCGTACCTTGATTTATACTATGGTCGTTATCCAGCACCTGCAGAAACCATTGCCCTCCTAAAGCGTCATCCTACGCTCCAATGTCTCCATATCCGTGCCTCCTCAATCGCTGACAGAGACATTATCAATCTTGTATCATTCCCCAACCTCCAACATATCATCATCAATGCAGGAGTCGACCATTCTCTTATTAGGTTGTTACAAGAGCACATTCAAAAGGTGGAACATAGACTACCTTAGTGATCTATTGTAAATGTCCTTCAATAAACACATTCTTTGGGGTAATTCAATAATGCAGCTATCCCCTTATACCCCATGTTGGTTCCAGCATATTTGTACATTATCTACATGAGGAGGCATACCAAGCACGGCAGTTCATTTTTGGTAGTCCCTTAGTATACCATGCATTGAAACGACTAACGCATCACACTCGCTATTCAATAAAGCGGATTATGTACATGTCGCAGTACTTGGAAATGTCGTGGGGCATTTCGGGATGTGGGGCATTTCCGGAAATGACCCAAAATCCCCTGGGGCAAAACCGGATCCCAAAATGACCCGGGTCATTTCTGGAAAAACTATAAATTCCTTAAACCAGCATTGTTTTGGGATAATAAAGCATTCCGAATTGCTATATAACTTACACGGCTAATGAATAAATAAGTGTTTGTTGTATGATGGGCACGAATTGGAGTAGTTTCTTGGCATTATTACGGCTTACGTTTAACAATGATATAGTAGTTCAATCCTTAAATTCCATGTTTGGTATCGGTGTAGCAATGTGAAGTTATCTTTATTTCATGGTTACTATGACAAATGATTTGGAATGGACTCCTTTACTTATACTCATCTACGAATGGATCGTGTTTTCCTTTCACCTAATGATCGCGTGATTCGGTGACGACCAACTGGAGGTTTGCTAATGCGATGGTGACGTGTGATGCTTCCTTTAGAAGTTGAGGGAAGATTGGTGTTGTTGCATATCACGAGTACTGTGCGTGTAGCATCTTGGTGTACAATAGTTGTTGACTCGACGACAGGGACATCTTCCATTTTTACATACCGTGCTTGACCCGCATGTCGAATGGCTGCGAAAGCTGAAATGACCCGGATCATTTTGGGATCCGGTTATGACCCGTTCATTTGTGGGTCATTTCCGGAAATGACCCACATCCCGAAATGCCCCACGACAGAAATAATCAGTCATAAGGAGTACTATGACCCAAGTCCTCTATTATTGACTCCAAATGGCGTTGTCTGGATAGCTCAATCTATAGGTGGGCTGATCGCCTATCTTCCGATTGAAAACCTACACCTCCAACGCAAGATACCTTTTCTAGTATTAACCAATTTGCTTACCATAAGGCCCATGATCGACTGTAAAAGGTCACATAACGCGCGTCTTTATGGTTTCCCCAACCTGCCATGATGATGTTACTATAAAAGCGGATCATTTTCACTAACCCTGCCTAACCCCGACCATATCCACCTACCAACCCGTATACGTTGCATGTTGGAACCGATGTACCCATTACGTGGCTATAATTTCCTCAAATCAGCTCGGATCAAGACACCTGAATGATGGAAATGAATCTTTGGAGCAGGCGCATTTTTCATACGTTATCAAATCCATGATGGTCTTGATTGGGTGGAATTGGCTAATGGCTAGCAATGTATGAATGACTGTGACATGGCGTATACATATCATCCATTGCTCTTTTAATGCTGTTTTCTTTGCTTTCTCACCCAAACACGGCCTCGTGCAGCTATTGCACTAGAAGTGTTTATATGAGTCACAATTGAAAAAGGCGACTTTGTCATATAGGATCATGTTTACTGCATAAAGACAACCATCACTCAAAATGTCACAATGAAGCATGGGCTCTTTTTGCAACCGACGTGCTCAGCATGGTCGAAACTACCTTGTGCGAACGTTTCAGGATCGAACTCGTCAATCTCAAATTTGGCCATGTCACCACCCGCCAAAATGAAAACAGGTCGACCCCTTGAAACTTTTTGGCTGACATGGACAAATGCAAAAATTGCCATTGACGAGTTCGATCCTGAAACTTTCCCACAAGGTACTTTCGACCATGCTGAGCATGTTGGTTCCAAAACGAGCCCATGATTCATTGAAAGATTTCGAGTTACAGGTGCGTGTATGTTTTGCTATTACAAAGGTGGGTCTTTTTCAATTGTGACTCATATGCACATCTATAGTGAGATAGGTGCGATTAATGGTGTTTGTATACGAAAGCGAATAAAAAAGGATTAAAAGAGCAGTGGATGATATGGCTACATCGTATCACGGTCATTCATACACTGCGAGCTATAAGCCAATTTGACCCAAGTGAGCCAATTGTGGGTTTGACAACGTGTAGTGAATGCGCCTGCTCCAAGGTTCCGTTCCATGGTTTAATTACGTTGATCCGAGCCGATTTGGATGAGCTACGCTTAGACCAGGTTTTGTCTAATCCATACACCCGTATACGTTTCATGTTGGAACCGATGTACCCGTTACTTGGCCATAATTTCCTCAAATTGGCTCGGATCAAGACATCTGAATAATGGAAATGAATCTTTGGAGCAGGCGCGTTTTTCATACGTTATCAAATCCATGATGGTCTTGATTGGATGGAATTGGCTCATAGCTTGCAATGTATGAATGACTGTGACATGGCGTATGTATATCGTCCATTGCTCTTTTAATCCTGTTTTCTTTGCTTTCTTACCGAAACACGGCCTCGTGCAGCTATTGCACTATAAGTGGTTATATGAGTGACGATTAAAAAAGACAGCTTCTTATATGACATCATGGTTACAGCATAAAGACATCCATAGCTAAAAATACCACAATGAAGCATGGGTTCTTTTTGCAACCACCGTGCCCATCCCGGCTCAAGCAACCTTGTGTGCCAGTTTCAAGACCGAAGTCGTTAATCTCAAATTTGGCCATGTCAACACCCGCCAAAATGAAAACAGGTCGACCTCGAAAAAGTTTTTCGCTGGCCATCGACAAGCGAAAAATTTGCTATTGACGATCTCGTTCCTGAAACTTTCACACAAGGTACTTTCGACCATGCTGAGCATGCCGGTATCAAAAAGAGCTCATGTAGCATTCTGAGATTTTGAGTTACAGATGCGTGTATGTTTTGCTGTTATAAAGGTGGGTCTTTTTCAATTGTGACTCATATGTACATTTATAATGAGATAGGTGCGAAAGATGGTTTTTGTATACGAAAGCGAAGAAAAAAGGATTAAAAGAGCAATGGATCATATGGGTACACTATCTGATGGCCATTCATAGATTGGATGCTACTAACCAATTCCATCCAATTGAGTCCATTGTGGATTTGACAACGTGTGGTGAATGCTCCTGCTCCAGCCCAACATTTCCATCATTCAACTATCTTGATCCGAGTTGGTTTGGATGAGCTACGCTTCAACCAGGTTTGCTCTACTCCATATACCCGTATACGTTGCATGTTGGAACCCATGTACCCATTACGTGGCTATAATTTCCTCAAATCAGCTCGGATCAAGACACCTGAATGATGGAAATGAATCTTTGGAGCAGGCGCATTTTTCATACGTTATCGAATCCATGATGGTCTTGATTGGCTGGAATTGGCTGATAGCTTACAATGTATGAATGACTGTGAGATAGCATATACATATGATCCATTGCTCTTTTAATGCTGTTTTCTTTGTTTTCGTATCTAAACACGGCCTCGTGCAGCTATTGTACTATAAGTGTTTATATGAGTTACGATTGAAAAAGATGGCTTTCTCATACAGCATCATCTTTACAGCATAAAGACAGCCATCTATCACTCAAAAACTCTCAATGAAGCATGGGCTCTTTTGGCAACCACCGTGCTCAGCCCAGCTCAAGCAACCTTGTGTGCCAGGTTCAGGATCGAACTCGTCAATCTCAAATTTAGTCATGTCATCACCCGCCAAAATGAAAAGAGGTCGACCTCTTGAAACGTTTTGGCTGGCATCGACAAATGCAAAAAATGCTATTGACGAGTTCGATCCTGATACTTCCACACAAGATACTTTTGACCATCCTGAGCATGCAGGTTCTATGAAAGACCTCATGTAGCATTGTGAGATTTTGAGTAACGTTCAACTTTTGTAAATTGTGGGTACTCGTTCGTAAAAGGATTGAAAGCACAATGTAACTTCCTGCTTACCTTAAACACACACACATATGTACCTCCCAACACCAAGACACCGCTTACCAGGAGGCACTAAATTCAGCGCCTATTCACCACCTACTACCCATATTGCCATAGCAACGTGTGAAAGAGACTCTAAATGAACACTTTTTACTATGGAGGATACTTGCTATATAAGAGAAGCCTATAGCCGTATAAAAGAATGCTTTGTTTTGAATACAAGGAAACCTTTATTATGAAAAAGAAATGACTACTTGTGCCAATGTTTAGCCCATCCCCATGGAGATGGCTTCCAGGTGTGACCTCGTGGAGGTGATTGACAGTCCACACCCTAGTTTTTTGTCATTGCGGACTCTTGCTCAGGTTTGGCTGCGTCGAGTTGATTGCGGTACTAGTGTAAAGTGTTTCCGTGTTTCGTGACCTTGCAGTTTCGTAACCCTTTCGATTCGTGGGTGTCTTGCTGGTTTCGTGAGTACCCCGAATCCCCTCCCCCAGCTAACCTGGATACCGTGTTTCGTGACGCTTGTTTATAGGACCTAGCGAGCCATACTTGCGGTCTTGTCCGGGAAACCTAGAGTGAAAGAAAGATACTTTGGAGTTGGGGAAAAAGGGCTTCCTTTTTATACCAAAGTGGGTTGTCATAGCACCTTAGACGCGTAAGCGTTTGTGTCACACGAAATTCGGCCAACTTGCTAAAATCTTCGTATCGCATTTACTCAAAACCACTCAATTCAACCTATTGTTGGCCATTAGAAAAACGTGTGCCTCTCATCGAGACGATTCAAATTGTATATTGTTTTTGATGGTTTTCTTTACTTTTGTCAATTTGAACATTGCTATGGTCACGTAGCACAATTTCCTTTTTGGGTTATGGTTTCAGATCTCGGACCGAGCTCTTTCGAACCACTGCCACAGGGCATAACTCCTTGGTTTTCAGGTAAACCTCGTTTGTGGTAATAGAAAAATGTGTTCGTCTCGATGATACGAGGATAACGGTATGCTATTCGTATGATAGATTTTTATATCCTGAATGGCTGAAACAGAGCCGTGCGTCTGCACATAATAAAGTCACCACCTTTCAACCTATACGAATAGCATACGGTTATGCCCGTCTCATCCAGCGGAACACGTTTTTCTATTACTACAAATGAGGTTTACTTGAATATCAACGCGTTACGCCATGTAGAAGTGGTTCGAAAGAGCTCGGCCCGAGACTGAAACATTACCCCAAAAAGGAAATTGTACTACGTGACCATGGCAACGTTCAAATTCACAAAAGTAAACAAAACCATCACAAACAATATACCGTTCGCATCGTCTCGATGAGAGGAACACGTTTTTCTAAGAGCAAAAAGCATGTTGAATTGAAATGTTTTGAGTAAATGGGATACGAAGATTATCGAAAACGAAGGAAAGCGTGTAAGGTTTCGGGTGACACGAAGCTTCCGCGGCACCCACTTTCCTATAAAAAAGAAGCCCTTTTTTCCCCAACTCCAAAGTATCTTTCTTTCTCCTCCTCGGACGGTCTTCAAAGGTAAGTTTCTTTCCACAGGTAGGTGAATGGGTGGTGAAGAAGAGGGGATAAAGAGGGCTATTGGGGTAGAGTATGTGAATGGGTGGTGAAGAAGAGGGGATAAAGAGGACTATTGTGGTAGAGTATGTGAATGGGTGGTGAAGACGACGAGATAAAGAGGACTATTGTGGTAGAGTATGTGGATGGTGGTGAAGAAAAAAGAAGAGGGGATAAAGGGGTATGTGTATGGGTGGTGGTCTGACCACGACTATAAATTGGTCGTCTTCAATGACGAAAACTTGCATCCTGATTACGATGTTAAACCAATTCGTCCGAAACGACGAAAACTACGGGTGTGGATTGCCAATCACCTCCTCGTGGTCGCACCTGGAAACCATCTCCATGGAGATGGGCTAAGAATTGGCACAGCTAGTCGTTTACTTTTATTTTAATAAAGCTTTGGTTGTATACAAATGTAAATAATCACTATCGAATTCTTATGTAAGTGTGGTATCTGGATGGATACACAGGATCTTATCTCAGCAATGTGACTCCGTCTTTGATAGTATAAATAAGAGACACAAATAAACATTGGACCCTTGTCAGATTCTCACTGTGTTTTCTTGACTCGTATCTCTTTTATTATTGACACCCATACACACACTTCTTAAAAGCTCTTTTGCCACCACAGTAAGATCACGCTTCCAAGTCAACCATCATTTTATTATTCATTAGATCCATCTATTCTCTTTTGTACTTCGTAAATGAGCGACCCATAATAAAGTGTTGCTTTTGCGTGCTATTGGATAGCGATGCGTGTCGTAGATGAATGAAGAGGTGGTGGTAGTTGACAGATTGTAAGCGAAAACGAGAAGCTGTATCGTTGATGCCGTACCCAAAAGCCGAATCATCATAGCGAACCGATTGCCAACTCACGAGTGATGGACGTTAAGAGAGTCCTCAATTTTGTATTGCTGACAAAGAGCCTAAGACATGACATCAATGAGAACTGCATTAGCAACCATACAAGAGCATCACCCCTCAAAGAGCTATTATGGACTATAATATCCACGCAAGTCATGTACATACCATATGTCCTGATCCAATCCCAATACAATCAATGTAATTGCTCACAGTGGTACCTCTTCTCCTATGTGGAAAGGTTCAAGTAAATCGCCACGCCATGTTGCATAGGTACGGTCCACATGCCATGCTTGCTACATCTTGACGAGCTCATCCATCACCATCGCAATACCAAAAGCTGATACTGTTTCCCTGAGGATTGGATTGAACGCGTATTGGTTCCTGGATTAGGGCCACGTATACCTCCTGCATCCTCCGTAAGCACGAATATCCCAAAATTTCCCATCATCCAACCTCCCTCATTTACCCAAAGGAACATCACGATAGCGGATTTGGCCATCTTCATATACTACCATGTACAATCGCGACATGCGCATCATTTGCTGGAATGGTCATGGAACACATTGATGGCAAAGACATGAAGGAATATGGGAGGTTCGACCGTGACCAAGGATTTGGATGACTAATGGGTATCGTTGCTGCTTGCCATTATTCTTTGGTGGATCCCTTGCGCTGAAACAATCCGATTCAATAACCAATCCAGTGTTCATCCTACAAGAGATGGACCATGAAAAAGATGATGATACAGTTAGCAGCTTGAAATAGTAACCAAGGTTTGCGTTGCAAGCAATCCCTCCTCATGTATTCCACGTACCAATGCCTTTGTGCATGCAAAGCATGACAAACGCTTGCCCAATCCGACAACCGTAAAGACCCACAAAAGTGACTTACTAAAAAGGCATGCCTTAGTACCTGACAAACAAAATCCAATGCACGTACATACACATTACCGGAAAGAGTGACCAATGAAAAGTAAATCCAAACACACCGGGTATCACCATGATCCCATACGATGCATGTAATCCGTTGCGTTGCTGCATGGTCTTGAGGCACCTTCCAAGAAGAGCAAACGTATCAGCATTACGCCTTGCATTGTTACAGTGCACATACCATGATTGGTACCATCCTATCCAATGTATCCACATGACCACGAATGAAAAACTCAATGATGACGGCAATTTGTGAGGACCCTGAATTAATCCATTAATCATCCTCCCATGATCCACTCCCTTGCCTTCAGTATCACTGCTCTTTGTACATACGATCTCGAAAAAGTCCAATCGTCTTCCCATGCTCGGTTGTTGCTTTTGCATCACGTGACCCAATCGCGGGATAAAAGTTGTGGCTATTGAGTACAAGAAACACGCCTATAGAGGACACCAATGAATCCCTTTGCTGCACACGTTTCACGTCGTCTTGCATACCCCATCACCAGTTGCAACCTTTGCCTTCGTGAACAGAATCTCTCTCCACATTCCTCTCTCAATCCTGAAATTGTCGACATTCCTGAAACAAGAAAGCTGTAAAAACACACGCCTATCAGTATACACAACGAACAAAGGCAAGTCGGCTTTTAAACTCTGTTACCACGTTACGTACCTTCGTTGACACCCTTTTGCACATGTCGGTGACTAATGAGGGGCCTCCATGTCGAACCACGATTGTGCTGTCGTGAGGTCTGGGTAAGAAGCAGCAAGGAGAAGCTGAGTAGACAAATCACCCTTTTGACACAAACATATGGAAATCAGCCACTGCCAATGATACATGCATGCAACATACACACCGCTATTGCAGCCCCCGCAACCAATCTCTCCATGGCAACCAACAACCCTTCACCTTGGTATAAATGTATTCAGTAGAAAGCCTATATATATGCGTATCAATAAAGCTTCGATAAGTCAAGGGTCGTATTACTTGTATTGTGTGTGGGTGTGTTCAATCCTGTGTCAAAGGGTATTGATGATGGTGTGTTCGTTGCCAGGCGCATAAGCACGTGCTCGTTATCCCATCCTCTAGTCTTGGTAATACAAAGGTCCTGCTGCAACGTTGATATGACCATGACTGAGACGATTGGAGATCAAATAACACCACGCTTGGTATTTTATCATTCCTATAGGATAAATACAGCCATAACTCAAAAGCTCATAATGAAGCAGGGGGATCTTTAATGAAACACGATTGCTCGCCGTGGTGGAAAGCACCTTGTGTGCAAGTATGAAACTCGAGATGGGGTAACCCAAATGTACGAATGCCTCTGGCAGCCAATTTTTTTTGTTTGTCGCAGAAAATAAAATTCAAGTGCTTGCCCCGATCCTGGTTTGGCTGGTGGTGACATTGTTAAAATTGAGATTGCTCACCTCGCACCTGAAACCTTTACACAAGGTGCATTCATGCATGCTGACAACTTTGTTCAAGCAAAGACACCAATGTGTGATTATGGAATGTTGAGTTATGGCCATGTTTATGCTGTTAACATGATGCTATATGAAAAGTGGCATTTGTTCATTTTCAACAGGTTTGATCACAATAGAGCTCAAGCTCTATCCATAGGTCCATGACTCGAAAGTGATGTTTATTTAACCGATTAGTAATCACTACAAGCACATGAGCGAGATACAGTGGGTGGAAATCCATGTAGCTACCAGTGTTTTCAATCGTATGGCAACCATGAATTGATGGTAATCCTTAAGTCAGGCCTTTGTTCATGGAGGTAGCGACGACGGTGCATGTTGCTTGCTTTTGATGGGTGAATATCAATACATTTGAGTTGTGAAAAGGTTTCAATTGCATGCCAAAAACCATCGTTGTCATCCATGCCTTCGATAGAAAACCCAAATTCCTCCAAGTGTTCAAGACGTTTCAAAGCATTCATTGTGTGCGTCGATGGGGCGTTGTTGCAGTTGATCCCAAGGCTAGATAAATTTGGACATGCTTCACAAAGCCCATCAAGGAATCCTTGCATTTGGGTGGATTCCCAATCACCTTTAATTCGAATGCTCAAGCGTTGAAGTTGACCAAGATGCAGGATTGCCTCTAGCACATTGTCGATATCCTCCGAGGTGTCGAACACAATCAAAAGCTCTTTCAGCTGGGAATGGTTGGCATATCGACGAAGGTACCGTGCATACCGAGCATAGTTGTCATAATGAAATGAAGGATAAAAATCCAATTGAAGCTTCTTTAAACTAGGTGGTAATGGCGCTGTATCGGATATGACACCTCCTGCGTCGCCTGTCATGCACGTAATATCCAACTCCTCAAGCATGGGTGCGTTGTGTGGAATCCACCATCCAGCGCCATCAATCCAAAGTCTCTTCAAACGAGTGTACTCAATGCTGTACATACTCTCGTGTATATTGGTAGTAAATGCATTAAAGCTGAGGTGTTCAAGCGTTTGTTGATGCTGCCTTAGAATATATATAACGCTCTCCCAACAGGTATCATTGAGGGCCTGTATGAAAATAAGAAGCCTCGTAAAACCAACCTCTTTACCTCGCGGCCCATCATCAGAGAAACCAATATAGAAACCAGCATCATGCTCTCCCACGTTAAGCCTGTTCATCCAGTGGTAATAATCCAAGACAACGCGTGTTGATTCCATATCTTGGCATGGGGAAAATTGCAGGGATGTGAGCGATGGAAAACGTTTGCCTATTGCCATGACTTCACCACAAGAAATGATGCCGCCATTATTCGATTCAATCGTTAACGACGTTAAATTGGGCCATGTGGTCATTGGAAGAGAGCCCATGTTTGTAGCACACGGTTGGATTATCTCGAGTGAAACAAGATTGGGGCAGTTGTCAAGAATGTCGGCTATCGGTAGCGTTGTCTCTCGATCGTGCTCAATCTCAAAATATGTCAAAGTGCTGCTGATCCACCTCAATGATGAAACCAATTGATCAACGCAATCAGCTGAGCATCCTTATAGAGGGTTGTGTGAATACAAGCGCATGATGGAATGAATGTGTATGTACAACTTACGACGAATAAATAACTTTTGTAAAGAGCAAAGGCCATTCTTGCATAGTAAATCACCAAGCCATGTGCCGTTCGAATATCGACCAAGCTGCAATGTCTTGATATGGCGAGCAAACTGAACGACTTTGGAAACATTGGCATCATCATCATGCTCAGTGTTGATATGTAACCCACCAAAGCATTTGGTGATACGATCACGCCATACCTTGGATACATTTAAATGAGGGGTAAGCTTCCATGGATCCAAGGGTTGATCATCCGTAAACGTTGGAATGAGTGTTGTGATTACAATGTCCACAGGGAGTTGGCTGATGAAGTCGATGCGTGTGTTTTGGCGTTGCTCGGCGTTCACTTTGGCTCGTTGCAGTTCATCATAATGCGTATCCATGGCATCCACTTTCGTCATCCCTTTGTCGCATACACGAATGACTTGAAGTTGTTTTCCTTGTTCACTGTGAATGTCGGCTTCCCGTATGTATCCAAGTGCTGAAGAAGGCGATAGCAGTTGCATAACTCTGGCATCGTGAAGAGCAGATTCAAAGTTGGCGCACTTTGTCAGCCCCAATGGCGCGTCGATTCAAAGCTGACAAGATGGGCTGAAGGGATTGATGGAGTTGTATAGTTGAATCGTGAACAAGCTTTGCATATTTTTCAGAAGAGGCTTTGAGTGTGGGATGTGTGCATAAAGCGTGGAAAATTGAGTCTGCCATAGTTGGTTGGCTTGGAAACAAGAATAAGCCGGACCCTCGGAGACAAAGCATTTATTGGCCAAGCGCGTCCAGTCATACAAAAGCGCCCTTTATTTCCCTCCATTCCAAGAACGACTCCTTTCTATACTTGACGACTCTCTCTAAAGCCTTACTTTTATCCCTTGTCGACATTGCTTGCTGTCATCTGCTAACAGAATTGGTGTTCAGCTTAGCATTCGTACCTTGCTTACGCGTCATCTCCACAACAACTTGTGGTGGCTCACCTCTTCCCTTTACTTGTTTCAGCTTCTTCTTTCGCACAAGCTTAAACAACCTACACCTTCGACAAGGACTTCTCCGGTGAAAAACGATCGTCAACAACACCCATCAACTAATCTTGACCAAGAGCTTGGCGCCAATCGCGAGAAGCTTGACTACAAAGGCGCCCAACACCAGCGTCTGATTTAAACGTCGCGACAACAAAGCAAGACTTCTTTCAAGCTTTTATGTATACATCTTTCCATGGCTATTAGCATTGGTATGTGGAATAGGATGGTGCAACAGGGTTGACAGGGTTCAAAGAGGAGCTTTTCTTTAAGGTTGCTGCTAATCATCATCATCATCATCTTCAAGTTGTAGTTGTGAAAACAGCACATCATGTACGCTGTTGCTCTTGTTTGAGGTGTATCTCGTGGACCCTGTGTTGGCACCAAGGATCGCAAGCAACATGATGACCGTCCAAGAGTTGTTTTGCTATGGCCCATTCCCATTGAAACCTGCTGCTGTAATCTTTCACGATCTGCTCTGATGGTGCCGTTGTCTTGCAAGTACTGTTTTTGGATCATACATATCGGTAGTTAAGTATGGATACATGGTTGGTGATCATTTGGCTTCAAAGCTAATGATGTGTATTGTTTGGATATGCATGTTCAAGGAGGATCAGGTTTGGCTTGTATGTGTATGGATATCTGTACACGTTGGATGATGGCAGAATGGATATGGTAAGAGCATATGGGTGAGTGATACATGGGTGGATGCTTTGCATTGCCGTTTCCCAGGTCGTATTAGTGTAGCCTTTCAATCTCTGAAAATAAACATGCGTGATCATTCAATAGAAGATAGCAGTCAGGATGTAATAGCAGCGGGGATTAGATGTATTCAATAATGCTGATGGTAATCTTATGCCTCCCAGGCAGTAACAACATCGATACAGCTATAGGCGTGGGACGTGCACTAGACGATGCTTATCACTGTTTTCATGCATGATTCATTTTCTCAAGTGATCAATGATAAAAAGACTCGCATTACATTTTACATTCATGGACGATGATCTTAGTAGAACAATCGAACTTGCTTGGCATATTAGCTTTCATCGATGTCCCTAGTTAATATGTAGTATCATGAATCCAATAAAAAAGGTAATCATTTGTTTCTGTTTAAAACTGTTCCTCAACACGGTAAGGATCCAAAAACCAGAAATCAAGGTCATGATCACCATGGCATTTGCCAATCGATGAAGATGATACTATGCTATAACAGTAGTTCCACGTAGCTCTCGCCTTGTAAGAAAGTGTGGGTAGCCATCGCATACAACATTTATTAGCCCCCTGAAAACGCCAACATGCATCATCTAAGCTAATGATAGCAATAGGCAGCTATTGTTACACAAGTACGTTACACTTGTCTCCCCTACCATCATACTGCTTCCATTAACACTTCTCATGCTGATTCCACATCAAATCAAAGTAGGTAATGCTTGTGGTGAAGGGGTCCATAATGTTTGGTCTTCGATGCCATTGCGGAGTGAAATAACACTTTAGGCAGGCCGTAGCATGAATCATCACCTCTTCCTTTTACCAATCTCACTCAACCATGACCACCCTCAACGATAACAACGTTCCTCCTTTCCTGTCAATCCCTTCTTCTCTCCAACAAAGAGACACAACCATTTCGACAGCAACAAAAGAGATCACCCAGCTTACATGTCAATTCATGGAGAAGCTCAATGAGCGTTCGGCGGCATTAGCGAATGCAGCTCAATTCCAACTTGCCTTGCGCGATGCAGCCTACATGCGAGTTCTCAACCCGACGTCTTCTCTTGGCTACTTGAAAGCTGGCACCATTTATCAGCAACAAGGACGGCAACAAAAAGCAGCAGCCATGTATGAAAAAGGCCTTACCATGTGCCATCATCGGATGAATGTTACGCCGACCTCCAAATGCAGCACGTTCAGGCAGTGAATGCATGTAGCAAGCGTATCGATTTTATCAGCCTGCTACCTTTGGACCTTGTTACATTGGAAATATTGCCTTTGGTGTTTCACGACTACAAGCTGCAAGACGATGAACCATGCCCTTATCTTTATGTATCACGCACATGGCGACAACGTATCTTGCAATGCAACAACTTGAGCTTCGATACCTCTTGCAATAAAGCCATCAATCAATTTGAATTCCGTGAGCTACGCAGATTTTCAGCACATGTCAAAACATTGTTCATCGAAGCACGCACAGCCCATTGTACAGATCTGGACCCTCTTTTCAACTTCGTGCGAGGCGATTTCCGCAACCTCACCAACTTGTCCATGTTATGTAAGTTGATCCTATGATGTATAAAGCATATACATGACACCTAATATATGTATGTAGACCACGGCGTTGACCAAAACGACATTGGATGTGCTCTTCATACTGTTCGCAAAACTTTGACGCATTTGGACCTTTGCATAGCGTATGCCCATACACCTGGAGATCATTTGAATCTTGCACTCCATCTTTGCCCGAGCCTTGTATCATTCAAGCTTGCGACCTGGACCACCGTCAACCTCACAGTGGAACATCCCAAGCTGACCCATCTCACCTTGAGCATTCAGGGTGGCCAACTATCACATGATACGATGACCAACATACTCTCGCATCTTCCGGCACTCGTGTTCTTTGATGTATCCATCGTTCCATACACCCATTTTCTCAGCAACCTCACTGGATATTGCCCAAACATCAAGCTACTGAAATGCGGCGGGTGTCACACTTTCGATGACGACAAATATGATCGACATGTTGGCGGGTTGCAGAAGCTATCTTTTGGGTTCAGTGATGCTTACAGGCTATCGAATGGTCTATCGTTGTACAATGCCGATGCCCTCATCTCATTGTTACTTGAGAACAAACATTCCCTGGATCATATCATATTGGCGGGAAGAATGACCGGCAAAAATCTTACATTGCAAGAACGAAGCTTGGAATCATCACTGGTATTCAGCCGCTTGGAGGAACTTGAGATCGATGCTTTCAATGATGAACTCGCTACACTCGCCACCTCAATCATTCGGCGATCACCATATCTTCAACGACTCACCATTGGTGTTCATGCAGCAGTTAACCATGATGATCTATCGAATGCAATGAATGGATTGAACAACTTGGGCATGTTTTCAGCAAAAAAACTCACACCGGATTCGACATGGTTCTACAATAGACTTCAACATCATGTACAGCGTGGCAAGGATTCACCATTAAAGGAGCTAAAGCTTGCCATCGACACTCGTCTATCGCCTTCATCTTGGGAATATGTGGTTGGCGGATTGCAAAGCGTACAGGAACTTGTGATATCGACAGCTTCAACCCCGACAATTCCCTCAAACTTTTCCACTATTGCGACGATTATCAATGCATGCATTTCTCTATCGTATCTTGAGTTGGACTTTGGTTATTATTCAGCACCTGAAAGCTTCATCTCGCGAATCAATGATCATCCTACGCTGCAACGTTTCAAGGTTCATGCATCATCCATTGCTGTCCAGGATATCGTTAATATCTCCTCGTTCACGAGCCTCAAACATATCATCGTCATCGCACGTGTCGAGGAGTATCTCATAACATCATTGCGGAAGCACATACCACGAGTTGATTACAGCCATTACTAGTGAACTGCTTCACCTCGATACGAAGTCATAGCTAAGCACCTCATGAAATAAAAAGCGATTTACCGATAACATTGATTATATTTGTGTCGTGGATTACGCATATGAGTAATTGTATTGGCGAGCAATTCAAGCCCAAAGATCGCTTAATAAAGGCTTTGTTTGCATTACAAATACCTTTTCAAAATGATTTTTGTGAAATTGGATGATGTTTTGTGTTTGAGTGTAACTCAACCAAATCCTCTCGTGCCGAGAAAGGTGAAGGATGGAGATGATGGGCTGGTCCACGACAATCTGACACGTGCATTGTTTTCGGCAACAATGTCGAATGGGGTGAATGGTTTATTAGCTGGTGGTTTACGAGTAAATAACAACGTGTTTTTTTCTAGTGAAGCGCTATAGAGGGATTTCGTATACCGAGTTGAGGGAAGAAAACAGCATGGACAAGGAGCATTGGCAATAGAAAGATGTTAAAAGCAAACGTACAGCGAATCATCTTTCACAACGGTATTGGATGTTACACAGAGATGATGAATTGGCCATGTAACTTTCATCACCGAAGCAAAGTAAATACAAGTACACATTCACGTATCATGGTTTCAGATATTTATGACGATCCATGCTTTTATTATCATAGCCCATAAAGCAGTGGAAGTAAAGAGCACATGTCTAAAAGATGGATTTACATTTGGAAAGCTGATCTGCATGCAAGGTGGTACAAGCTCTCTCTTTATCCTCAGCCCCATGATGCCGCTCGTAACTCTGGTATCTGTTTTCTCTCCCTTCCTTTCTGGGCATTTCCTGACTCAACGCACTTTGCCGTTATGAACAACCTACACGCTTCGACATCTGAAGGCCAACTTGCCCATGTCATTCAGCAGACATTCACCATTGGCAACGAATTTCGAGATCTTCAACTCCATCTACTCGACATGGAACCACGATCGTAGCTTGCTTGTTCACATTTCGCCATAGTCTTCGGCACAGCTATTAGAATGAAAGGAATGCATCCAGCACCATCACTCGTTTATTTATGTCGACGATCGATGTATATGGAGCAAGGACGATACACTACAGCATCTCCCGTATGGCAGAGCACATGAGCGAGTTGATAAGCATGATCCATTGTGTGCCACGATTACACAGCCAAACAGATCCCATACGCCAATGCAAAAAACGTAGTGACTTTATGTGCGACATTTCCATGCGAATCAATGATTGTATTATCGAAGAGATCACTATTCACGAGGTATACGATCGGCAACAAGAAGAGCTCATGGTGGCATCGTATCATGGCAACCCAACACCTAAAATTCACTATACCAGCACCGTTTCCTTTGGATGAAAGCAGCGATGTGCCCACTCAGTCAATCACCCATACACAATGGTTTACCGTCATGGCTTGCAAAACAGCATTGGTTCATCTCTTCCGAAGCTATCGCTTGCATGCTTGGCAACATTGCCAATATATGGTAGGTATTCAAGGTACATTGTAGCATGTCAACAAATGTACTTACAATAGCACGACAGCTCCATCATACGACACATTTGGCGAATGCCTTTTAGCATTGGAATCCATTGACACACAGCTCAAGGATTGCATACTCCAATAGCAGGTATGTCGATTGCGTTATCCATCAACTGAAAGAACATATCGCTCAACTGCAACCTATCTTGGAAAGTGTCCCATCTTGATATTGTTCGATTGCCAAGCAATGATCGACATTTTATGCACACAGGAGGCTTACACAATGACAAAAGGACTCATGCCATACGTCGTGGCAGGAATAGTCGATTACCAGCACTTGATGATTTGTGAAGAGCTGCCTATATTGAAGACATTGGATACGCAATCAAAGATGGATGGAGGCTATGATGGATGGAGCGTAGATGGGTACCATTCATTCGTTGTTTGGGATACGGCGATGGACCAGATACCTCGTATCATCGGCTTGACGACGTGATACCATCAATATCAGGGATTGGTTTTGCTTTCGATCACTCATTGCAAGTACTGGTTTTCGCATCATGACATTGCACCGCACATCATTCAGCACCATACCACTGCACATTTATTGAAACACACATTTGGATGGATGGATACCAACACCCATGAGCAACATGAACGATACCATGCACAATTACAGCCTGTTGAATTCGCGTCACTGAAAAGTTTGATGACCTATATCCTGTCTACTACCACACCAAAAAGTGACACCATGCAAACATGTCACTATTTCATGGCCAGCATCAATCAGCACACTACATATTTTCACATCCTGGTGTTGAAGGGCTATACAACGAACCAGGTTTCTTTGAAAGCATTCGCCAAAGGCATGCATCTACGTGGTGTGGATTTCAATGTTCATGACACCCACCAACATGATGGAGATGATTTACATGTGGCGGGTTTCCTTGGATACCACGTGGATCACACAGCTTCAAAAAGGAGTATCACGTTGGGAACCTATCACAATACCACTGTACCAAGCACACGCCATGCTCATCGATGCCATACGAGAATTGGGACGTTTGAACGTTTTTGCAGCTATATACCAACGCTATGGTACCGGAGCCATTTACAATATTGTTCGGATCATTATGGGATGGATACCAAGTCTTGATAGCATTGCGTATCATGGACGATGGTTCCATGCTCAGCTATACCCTTTACGGGCTTGGTGGTTTATGAAATTCTGGGAACGTTATTGTCACTGGGGACTTGCATGATGCGTACGCCATCGTGTTAACATCACACCGTTACCGTCATTTGGAACGCAACATTTGCTACAGGCGGACTGACCATCATAGTCGATGCATGTTGCTTCAAAGTTATCCAGGTTTACAAATCTTATACTAGTAGTGAAGGGCTATTTTTGTTGTCATCCTTTAATAAATCTACACCCTCATTGCACTTTGATATCTTGAGTATACATTTATACGCTGACTTAGCATTCACCTTTCCCTATACGTCAAATCCCTTCGATATGCATGCTTCAAAGCCGGATGTGCCATGGCACAGGTAGTTCATTGATACCGGTAGCCATCTTCTACTTGACAGCGTTATGCGAAATACTGTCGCAGATGACCGAATCCAGCTTTGGGATCATGGCTGCTATATGAAGCTATGGGTATCAAGGTATTGTTTCGTGTGTTTAATAGCTTTAATGAATAAATGCCCCAAGGCTAACATAAGCTACGATCTCTTATAATGAGTATCATTATTTCTTTTCTATGTGAGAGAGTACATGTGCATGGCATAACATTGAATCTGGAAATCTGCCATAGCCTTGTTGACCACCACCAATCAACGAGTGCTCCTACTACCAAAGAGCAAAGCCGTGATAATGCAGGACATGCACCATTTCCTGAAAACGATATCTTTTGATCCAGAGTTCACTATCACATGACCCAGATGTTAGTACGCTTGCTGTTGACTCACATTGCCCATCAAAGATACTTACGATGCCATTGCCAATACACCTTTTCTACTGTATGCGTGTTTTGTGTTCTTGTCCATTCACGTAAATGATCCTTTGTCTTGCTTCAAAATTTGAGTTCCCTTCATTCCTTCTTGTATATAGCTCCGATAGATGATGATGCCCTCATAACATTTTTGACGTCTACAATGATCGACCTATCACAACCATATAAGTAATGACATAGCAAGTTGTATAGCTCACATGTACTTACCCATTGCCATGACGACATCATATATGATTCTCAGTATTCTTTTGCTTGTGGTAGCCTAAAGCGATTCGGGTCCAACACCGGCACCAGCGTGATCCCAGCCTTCCCAGCACAGTTCTTGCAAGTCCCACGTTTTCTTGTTTTTCTTGTATGTTGATTTCTACAAGCCATTGATGAGACTTTGGTATCCATTGATAATGTTGATATCCATGTACGTACTTCTTTTTCAGGCTCTTTCGGATTTGATGAGGTTGAATGCCAACTTGAGTGATGTCGGGATTGTCGAACCGATTCAGCACGGCACCCAACGGCCAGGCGACTCTTAATCGGTGGCCGCACGGTGCCCTGTGACCTTGAATGACAAACCGATACATATCCCCGAGATTGGTCTTGATGCCATGGACCTTTTTGTCTCGGCTTGTTTGTTCTATAATGTCTTTGTTAATACATTAACCCTATACAACATCCAACCCACGAATGCATACTTTGATGTTTGTGATTTGTGTTTGATGTCGCGCTGATTGAATAATTGATGAGAGTGTATGCGCGTAAGAGAGAAAAGAGAGCCTTTTGTTGATTTGATTTGAGATGTGGAATCGTGCAATTGTTGTGCATAGGAAATCCAGAATCGATCACCAGAACCGTTGTTGCATGATAAGGGCATTTAATGATTGCATCTATATAATCATATGGTAAGTTAAATGGTTAAAGGGCAGCGTTTGTATCCTATACGTACGTTTTTCATAGCCGATTTTGGAGTTGTTGACTTTGGTTGCAGCGTCGACCATGTGGACAATGTGATTTGTGTTTTCATAATGTTGTCCATAAGCATGCATCAAGCCACAAATGATTTGAAAAGGGCCATAGACCGGACCACCGCCAAGTTTTGGATCGCCATGACATTGTAGAGAAAATCCAGACTTTAAATGTAAATGCTGATGTAACGCCATACGATCCATGTATGTTTGAAGTTGTAATGCTCTTGTGCGAGTACTGTGTCGAGGATGCAAAGGACCAATATAAAGCCATAGCTCCAATATGCCATCCATTTGAAAGCATGGTATCCGCAAACATGCCTTGCCTCCGATATGCCAAACCACACTTTGATGTGTCTGCCAAGATGCGAATTGGAATGCTGATGTTGCTGCCATCACCCAATCAAGGATACATATGCTTGTAGTCTCCTCATTATTGCCCAAGGATAAAGCTGCCATGATAATGTGACAAGTGGTCCGTCGTATGTAGCCCATGATGCCGGTTGAATCAGTCATCCGTAACCACCAGGAGGGTAGAGCTGATGCTTGAAGTGATCCTTTTTGTGCACCAACGTCTTCATAAATAAACGTCGATGCAAAGTTGCTGATACTTGAATTGATCCTTTTTGTGCACCGTTTTCATAAAGTAACGTCGATCCAAAAGTTGCTGATAGCCATCTTGATGACCATGGAGACACCTTCCCCAAAATAGTAATCCATACTTGCTGTCATATACAAGCTTGATTCATTCGATCCTTTGTAAATTCCATGTGCATCCCAAAGCTTGAGAGGGAGAGAGAGCACCAGTGTTTTGAAACATGGTTCTAAACTTGAATGCCCGCATGTAATTGCGTTGTTGCCTTGCCACTCATGAAGAGAAGAGAACATCTTGTATTTCATCTTGCTTGCGTTGCCATGCATCATGTCCCGCCATCCAAACAAGGAAATTTCTGTCTCCATGACGACCATCGTGTCCATAAAGAGTAACGCCGTCCATAAAAACGACACGGAGCTTTGTGCCATGAACCAGTATTGGCAATTGTGCCAAGCGAATACCGCTATCCACAAAAAGGAGAGAACTCTTGCGCGTTGTCGCCATGCCAATACAGCAACCAAACGACGGCAGCATCCATAACGAGAAAAGGACGTCTTGTGCCATGACCCCATTGTGATAGATATGCCAAGCGGATATCGCCATCCATAAAAAGAAAAGAGAACTCTTGCACGTTGTCGCTATGCCAATATCGTATCCCAACGAGAGCACCATCGATAAAAAGAAAAGAGAACTCTTGAATGTCACCAATCGTGTCACCAAATGTTGAAGATCCAATTCGGCACCGAGACACCAATAAAAAGAAAAGAGAACTCCTACGCTCCCTAACAGCTGCCGCTGCTAAAACGATCGCCCAAAAAGGGCCACAAGGCCTATATTGAAAAGACATCCATGAGTACTTTGTTAAGTGTAAACACTCACACATGAATACATACCATAACGTGTGACCATAACCTGTTCACAGGGATACCCCACAGACCCAGAAACAAGACATGGCGTCATCCCAGGGCACATCCAACCCCATGGGAGAGTGAAAGGAAACGACATGCAGGCCTCTTTCCCACCCACGGATCCTTCAAAGTCTTATCCTCTGCACCAAGAGCACCGGGTCCAACGACGTTCCATCTCTTCGAAGTCCAGGCTGTGATGCCTTGCCCACCATGTCTTGATGCTCCTTTTTCAAGTGCCCACTTCAAAGATGATTACCGCTTGTGCCAAAACATGATCATCCAACATGTAAAGGTGGTATCACTATGCAGGGACACATCACAGTATCAATCACCATGATGGGCCCCCACAACGTAAAAGGATGTCATGTAAGCAAATGGATCACAAAACAATACCAGTATTTTGTTTTACCTTTTCAAGACCCAATCCAATACCCCAGTGGGCAACATGACAAATAGACCATGAGAGGACGTAGGCATACAAGGACTTGCTCATAGCTTGCTGGAACATGGATAGAGATAGGAACTTCTCGTTGGACCTTTCAGCACCCAAGGTAGCGTCATCGATGACCCTCCAGATCCTCCCACCGCGAAACCTACATGCCGATCCTTTCACTCATCACACATGAAGCTGAACGTACCTGAGAATCTTCCACACCTTGAGACTGGACTGCAGGGTATCCCATCCCTAACGCTCCAACCAAGAAGCACCGAACGACGCGGCCTGTATATGAAAGAGGAATACGTAAACAATAGTTTCAAATATAAACGTATACTTGAACTTACCGAAAAGCCACCCAACTCTCAGTCATCATCATCGTCATCCACGTTGTAAAGAACAGTGGATGCCGATGATGATACCGATGGTGCCAAGGACGACACCCCTGATGACAACGATAATGATGGCGAGGGTGGTGGTGATCGTTGTCGTGATGGTGATGGTGGTGAAGGTGATCGTAGTCGTGATGGTGGTGAGGGTGCTAATGAACGTGATGGTGATGGTGATGGTGAAGCGGACGATGATGACGATGATGATGACGATGATGATGATAATGATGATGATGATGATGATGACGATGATGATGATGAGGAGGAGACGGAGGTGACAGGAGAAGCTTGAGGATGTGGCGGTGATGGTGGTGGCATAAGTTCAGGTGATGGCATATGTGCGGGCAAAAGAGGAATGATAGCAGAAGCGGAATCTAATTTTGAACCACATTAGATAGCTGTCCATGTACATAGGGCGGTAGATAGGATTTCATACTTACCAAGTGACATGGGAACAGGTTCAGGTGATGCAACAACAGGGACACCAGCAGCGAAAGGAAGAGCAGTAAGGAGTGGCGAAGGAAGAGGAGAGAAAGCTATAAAGATTATGATGCATATGAGAATAAGTGACAAAAGGATTACACTAAGCCATGTATAAATACTTACAAAGATCCATGTCATCAATGATATCCATGGATTCACCAACAGGGGCACCAAAAGCGGAAGAAGGAGGAGGAAGAAGAGGCGAAGGAAGAGGAGAAAAAGCTATAAGCATCATGATACATATTAGAACGAATTCGAAAGGATTACAATGACTCATTTATCTATACTTACAAGCATCCATATCATCCGTGATGTCCATAAAATCACTCAAAGGGATCTCAGCGAGCCATAATGGCTCCTGGTATGGAACATCCACGGGGGGTCGCATGTATGCGTCTTCATCATACTGGTCAAACACTGTCATTGCCTCGAAGATGGGCACTAATGGGTGTCCAAAACCTTATGTGAGTACATACAATAATAACCACTACATTGCCATAGCCTTAAAACTTACCGAGCTCACCCACATCCACCAAGGAAAGGGACTCGAATGCCGCACCTATGTCATACGTAGTGAATGTGAGATAATGTATACCTTATTAACCATGATTTGAAATACTTACAAAGGTGATCGACATCGGCATCGGTGGTGGTGGCAACAGGAACAGGCACAGCAACAACAGGAAGAGGAGCGGGCACAATGGCGTGAGGCACATTGGCGAAAGCAGGCACAATGGCACGAGGCACATTGGCAGGAGCAGGCACAATGGCACTAGGCACATTGGCAGAATGAGGCACAATGGCACGAGGCACATTGGCAGGAGCAGGCACAATGGCACTAGGCACATTGGCAAGAGAAGCGGGCACAACTGGCTCTTGTGGCACAGAAGGCATAGTAAGCACATTGGCGCGAGGCACAATGGCGGGAGCTGGCACATGGGCACAGACGACGGGCACAATGGCACAAGGCACATTGGCAACAGAAGGCACAACTGGCTCTTGAGGCACAGAAGGCAAAGAAGAGGAAGGCACTAAGGCCACAGAAGAGGACACCAAAGAAGCACGACAACGCTGATGGTAACCCTGTTGCATCCAGGCCACAAAGGAGACACCACTTCGGGCACCAGCAGGGTTGAAACACCACCACACGAAACAAATTGTGCCAAGAACAAGGACGACGCACGAGCACCAGAAGCAACACCAAAGTGCGTGCCACACGACAGCTCGGCCTTCATCACCAACATGGATCATCATGATCAGGAACAGCAACAGCAATAGCTGTGCGCAAAGAGAAAACGCCTCGGAGAGCTCGAAGGGGAACAACATAGCAACGGATAGCGAGTGATAAAAAGAGGTGGGGAAAAAAGGAAAAGTTGGTTTGACCCTGTTAAAATTGTAAATTTCAAGCGGCGCTCCATGGCAACCGATTTCACCCGGTATCTATGGATACGATGCTGTGATTGGCAACCATACCGGAATCGTGTCCAATCGCTTTTGTGTATTAATCAAAGTGGAAGATAAGGACTGCTTTTCTATTTATAAACCAAATTTCAGGTGACGTTTACTTGTGGATTGTCGAGAAACAGAGAAAAAATTCGCTCATGTGGGCCAAAGGGACATGGTTTTTATCTTCTCTGATCAACTTGGGCCAGTAACCAAAGTTATAGAAAAAGGATGGTTTTATAGTGGACTTTTCAGTTTCAAGGTGGATTGACATGTAGCATGCTGAGATACGACCAGTAGAAGTTCATATGGAAGAGATCACGTGCTCAAGAGGTATCGCACTAGGCTTGACTCTGACCATCGCGACCCCTTAGTCAATGTTGACCGCAATGACTGCTTTTATACCTGTAAACAAAATTTCAGGTGACGTTTATTTGTGGCTTGTCCAAAAACAGAGAAAAAATTCGCTCGTGTGGGCCAAAGGGACATGTTTTTTATCTTCTCTGATGAACTCGGGACACTAAGCAAAGTTGTCGAAAAATGATACGTTGATAATGGGGTTTTCCATTTCAAGGTACGTTGCTAGGTAGGATGCTGAGATACGATGAATAGAAGTTCATAGGGAAGCGATCACGTGCTCAAGAGGTATCGCACTAGGCTTGACTCTGACCACTGTGACCCCTTAGTCAAAGTTGACCACAATGACTGCTTTTATAGTGGTAAACAAAATTTCAGATGCGGTCGACTTGCCACTTGTCGAGAAACAGAGAAAAAATTCGCTGATGTGGGGTAAGGTAGGCATGTGTCATTTCTTCTCTCATCACCTTGGGCCACTAACCAAAGTTCTAGAACATGGATGGTGTAATAGTCGAGTTTCAATTTGAAGGTAGGTTTACATGTAGAATGTCGTGATACGACTGACAGAAGTTCATATGAAAGAGATCACGGGCTCAAGAAGTACATGACTAGGCTTGCCTGTGACCCTCTCTCATATCATAGGGGAAATTGTAGAGAAGGCTATGTTTGTAGTCGTGAGGGAGACTTGAGATCACTCAAGTTGCGACTTGTCAAGTAATTGCCAAAAAAGCTTTTCTTGCATATGCGTGTTTCTATAGTGGGATTGTTTGATGATATCTTCTCTGATAAACTTGGTCAACTACTGGAAGGTTTATTAAGAGGGTGGTTCGGTTTTCGATATAAAGGTAGATTGGCATGTAGATTGTTGAGGAAGACCGCTACATTATTATATGCAAACGATCACGCGCTCACTTCTAGATGAGTAGGTTTCATTATGATCGATTACATGGGTGGCTCAAAGTTGAATACAATTGTTGGTTACAACCTTGCTTATTGGATGCATTCACAAACACCACCGCATAGGCTGCAGCGACTATGAAGCAATTGTATTTGCTTACGTCAATAACCATAATTCTATATCCTAACATTCCTTTGTGAGCGTTCCTAGGGAAGCGAGCATCACCGAAGATCCTTGCCTCTTCTAGAAGGTCTACTTCTGATATGTAGGATTATTCGGGACGAGATGTATATCATTGAATGCCGTATTCGGTAGTGGGTGACCAGTAATAATTCACAAGCAGCAATTCAGCTAAGCAAAATCTATCTTTGTTGACCCAAAAGAGAGTATAATGCAGCGTTGATTAATCCTTCCCTTGCGCTAATCCGAACATCCAAATGTTTACACGTAACGTATTCCATATTTATTCACCATGAACAAACAGCTATCGCGACATTGGAGATGATAACAATGATAAAGGAAGATTTCAAGGCAAAGTTCAGAACGGTGTAAATTGATCATCCACAATGATATTCATGCTACGCCTATGGTCCTTAAGAACTCGAATGTCGGCGTGATTGATGGCACTCTCAGGGTAAATCCGTATACAGCTGAGCTGTGGAAAGGTTCGAATCGCATGCCAAAAGCTATCAGAGTCACGCATGTGATGGATCGGAAATGTAAATCGCTTTAAGCGTTCAAGCGATTTCAACGCATTGATCGAAGTAACCGATGGCGCGATCATGGCGTCGATCTCCAGACACGATAGGTTACGACACACGTTCTTAAGACCTTCAAAGAATCTTTCCATTCGATAGGATTTCCACTTGCCGCAAACACTGATCATCAGACGCTGAAGGGTGTTGATACGAGGGATAGCATCAAGCACATCGCGAGAGGCTTTGGAGCTGTTGATTCGAATCACAAGTTCATGTAGTTCGCATTGCTGAGAGACGCGTTGAAGGTATGTCCCGATGGCTGCTTCGTTTTCAAGGTCATCAAGTTTGAATTCAAGTTTCTTCAAAGTCAATGGTATTGTATGCAGCGCTTCAGGGTGGGTGTTGATGACTGTGGATGATATCACCAATTCTTCAAGTATAGGTGCATGCTGTAATATCCATGATCCGGACGTTTCAAGCGTTAGCTTCCTCAGCCGAGGGTACTCGATGTTGTGAAGGTGTTGAAAGTCTCTATCAGGGGTGATGTCCCATTCGATGACCTCGATTGTTGCATGATACCGGTTTAAAAGAGGAGCCGTATCCACAAAATCTTCATTTCCAAACCAATCATCCTCGTAAATAGAAAGCCTCGTAACCACAAGGTCTTCATGTCCAGTACTTTCATCGGAGAAGAAGCCGGTTATGTGCCAATCATGAATAACAATTTCAGCGCGTTTCAACAATGGGCAATGCTGTGGGATCATCAGTGCCGATTCGATGTCAGGAAATGGATGAATGTCAAGATTCGTCAGTGAAGGAAAACGCTGACAGATGCTCATGATTTGATTGCGAGTGAATTCATCATCCTCGGTATAGTTAACCGATAATGTCTTCATCATGGGCCACGTTGTCATTGGAAGAGAGCTGAAGTCATCACAACTGGGCTGGTGTATGGTAAACGAGACCAGACGGGGGCAATTTGATAGTATCACATCCAACGGTGCATTGTCAGCATACTCTCCATAAATCGCCAAGTGCGTCAATGTCCTGCCGATCGATCCCAACATCAAGGTGAAGTCATCACTATAGCCGGGTACCAAACCTGGTATGTATGAACAATGATAAGTACATGAATGAAAAGAAATCGATAGCACGTACTAAATAGGCTCAACTCCTTCAAGGAAGAAAAGTCATTGTTGCATAATAAATCCGACAGCCACGTTCCTTCTGAATATCGGCGTACATGCAGTTCCTTGATGTGTCGAGCAAACTTGATTAATTGCCAACGCTCCTCAATAACCTGCTCTTTTTGCTCGTACGTAGTCTCAAAACGTAACCCATCCAAGCATTGGAGAATATAGTCACGCCAAAGTTTCGACACATGTAAATAGGGACATGGCTTCAATGTATCCAAACGAGAATCATCATCCACGAACATTGGAATAAGCGTTGTTGTAACAATGTCGATTGGTAATTGCCTGATAAAGTCGATTCGTGTGACCTCACGTCGCTCAGCATCGGCCTTGGCCTTTCTCAATACCTCATAGTACATGCCATATCGCTCCACTATCATCATCCCTCTGTTGCAAACATCAATGACATCGCGCTGTTTTCCTTGCTCGCTGTAAATGGTGGCTTCACGAACGTATCCAAGTGGTGAAGAGGGCGAGATTTGTTGCATAACTCTTGCATCACGAAGCGCAGCAGTAAAGTTGGCAAGCTTTGACAATGCCATGGCGCGCCGATCCAGAGTTGACAAGATGGAGCCAATGGGTTCATGGAGTTGTGTGGTTGCATCGTAGACAATCGCTGCATACTTTTCAGTTGACACTGGCTGAGTGGGCTGTTCGCATAAACCGTTCCAGATAGAGTAAGTCATAGAGTGGGTTGAACGGAGTGAAGAAGGAAGCAATTCAAGTCGCCCCGCTCCAGTACAGGTATTTATTGGCTGAGCGCCGTTCCCAGGCAACAAAGCTACTGCTTTATCCCCTTTATTCTTAACAACAGCTTCTTTCTATTCTTGACGCCCCTCTTCGAAGCTCAACTATTACTCCTTGTAGACATTCCTCGTTCGCCATCTGCTAACACAATTGGCTTCAGTCAGCATTCGTTTCCTTGGTGACGCGTCATCTCTATAACAACAACCTTTGGTGTTTCAAAGTTTGCTGGTACCTGTTTTAGCTCCCTCGTTTACACCACGCTAAACAACTTGTACGCTTGACAATGACACCCTTCAGGGAAAAACGCTTGTTCGCAATTGCCGTACCCTCATCTGCTTCGAGATCCTGGTGCTCGTTTTCGGCTTGACTTGTACAAAGGCACCTAACTTGGCTATGGTGTAGAAACGTGTTATTAGCAACCCATGGCTTGATACAACTTTATATCCTTACACATTAAGATGGTCGAAAAACATTGGTACCTACAATATTATGAGGGGGGAAATACTGGAAACGCCCAAACGGTCATTATTTTTTCTAGCTGCTCATCATCATCATCATCATCGTCATCATCATCAAGGGATTTGTCAAAGGAAGCCGAAGATCCAGCATAGCCTTTCTCTGAAGCTGTTCCTTTGATACCATTGGGTTTCAATATGTGTGGTTTCCCCTCTTTACTTCCATCCTATGGTGTCGCGGTAGTGTTGGATGGCCTCTCTTTCTTTTGGTTCAAGGTATAGCGAAACCTGGAATCAGGCATGATGTATGGTGGATCTTCCAGCAGATAAGGTAAGCTAGGATGAAGGATGTTGTGGACATTCTTGCTTAAGGGTGGCCATGGATTATCAGGTGCATACATGTATACCGTATCCAGGGAACTAAGTATGGTGGATGAAAGCAAAACGGATAGGTAAACACTCCTGATGTTGGGATCAAAGCGGCGGCTGGGTATTGTGGTTTCGCTAGTTATTGTAGTATAGCTTTTGGTTCATCGGAATAAAATGACGTGGATCCAGTTGTCAAGGAGATGGGTTGCTAGGTGATGGGCATGATATAATCCTAGAGCATACAGACCTTTTGTCGTTCGCGTTTACGCTGATGTGAGCATGGTGTCATAAAAGTAACACCCTGGCGGTATTTATCTCTCACCAAGAAGACATCTTCTGATACAGCAGCCAATCGACACCAGACATCCAATCATCATCATGCCGGAAGCCAATCATTAACCTGTTTAATAAATGCAATCATCATCGTACAGACACCCAATTATCATCATGCATGCAACCAATTATCATCTACCTTCCTCTCTTGTACTTTGTCCATGCTCCTACCCCTACGCAATAAATGGCCCTGTCTATCATGCTCAACGTCGCATTTCTAATGAGTTCAATGATGTGCAAGATAATGTGTTTCTCATTCAATGGCAAATAAATGCCCTATTTACAAACGAAAGAAGCTCACACCGACCATATCAATGGATATTCTTAATGTCGTCATGCGCACTTTCTTTGACATTCACGAGTACATTATTGAGGGTGTTGCATCTACGTCATATGCCATGGCGGTCCATTTGTATCCCTAAACGAACGATTTTACGGCTAACATAGCTTGTGTAACAAGCCGGATGATGATTGTAATACTTGACACCATTCAGTGCAAGGCAATGGTAGCAAGCAAGATGCACCTCACCGAAACTTCCATTTTCTCTTGAGTGCTTCTTATGTATGTTATGCACACTCGCTATGCCAAGGTATCAAAGCCTTTTATCCTTTGGTGTAGCTCCCTACAAGAAACCATCGAATCCCCAAAAGAATGCCGTCACTGTTAATGATGACCACACTGCTATATGGAATAGCAATATATGGTAGTGCATACGTGCACAACCTATCATAATCCATACATGGCGACAAAGCAAGCTTTATTTACCATCCTTCGAAATGTCTATGAAGCAAGAGCTATATAAGGTGAACACAATCCATGTAATGCCGCAAATTTTCAACAGGGTATGAACCTAGTCTGGACGATAATTTTCAAATCAGGCCTTTGCTTCTGGAGACTACTACGGCGGTGTCTGTTGATTGACTTTCCAGGGTGGACATGAATACATTTGAGCTGCGAAAAGGTTTTAATTGCTTGCCAAAAGCCGTCATCGTGATCCAATCCTTTAATTGAAAACCCAAGTTCCTCCAAGTGATCAAGTCTTTTCAAAGTATTGATTGATTGCGTAGATGGGGCGTTGTCGCAGGTGATCGCAAGGCTTGATAAATTTGGGCATGCTTCACTAAGCCTATCAAGAAAGCCTTGCACTTGAGTGGACTTCCAAGCACGAGAAAATAGAATCTTCAAGCGTTCAAGTTGACCAAGGTGAAGGACTGCATCTAGCACATTGTCGGTATCAGCCACGGTGTCGACAGAAATCACGAGTTCTTTCAACTTGGTATGGTTGGCATATCGATCAAGGTACAGTATCGCTTGAGCAACGCGTTGTTGCGGCGGTTAAGTGCAAGATGAAAATTCAGAACAAGCTTCTTTAAATTGGGTGGTAATGGTGTTGTATCAGACACGACCGATCCTGCGCCATGTGCGTCGCATGTGATATCCAATTCCTCAAGCATGGGTGCGTTGTGCGGTATCCACCATCCCGAGTTGTAAAGACGAAGCTCCCTCAATCGAACATACTCAAATCGTAGATCCCCTCTAGTATAGCCATAGGATAGACATGGAAATCGATCTCTTCGAGTGTGTGCCGATGTTGCCTTATTATGTAAACAAGTCCCTCCCAAAGGTCACCATCCACGTGAAAAATGCGGGTAGAAAGCCTTGTAAGCCCAACCTTTTCACATGGCCATCCTTCAGTATCCAAAGTAACCATGAAACTCATACCATGCTGTGCCAGGGTAAGGTTGCTAATCCAGGGGTAATGATCCAAGACAACGCGTATTGATGCAACATCTTCACATGGAGAAAATTGTAGCTTCTTGAGCGATGGAAAACGTTTGCCAATAGCCATGACTTCTCGACAGGAAATGACGTCGTTCTCAATCGATTCGATAATTAATGATGTCAACTTGGGCCATGTTTTCTTTGGAAGGGATCTGATATTCGTAGCACTTGGTTGGGTGATCGCGAGTGACTCGAGATTGGGGCAGTTGATTAGAACGTCGCCTATCGGTAATGTTATATCGTCATCGTGCCCAATTTGGAGAGTTGTCAAAGTGTTGCCGATGGACTTGAATGATGGCACCAAGCCATCAATGCAATACCCCGCGCAGCCTTATGGAGATTGGAATCAATACAAGCGCATGATGGAATGAACGTGTACAACCTACCATTAATGAATAATGTCTTTAACGAACAGAAATCGTTATCGCGTAGTAAATCTGCAAGCCACGGGTCATTCGAGTATCCATGAACCTCCGTTTCCTTGATATGGTGAATAAATGGAGCGAGTTTTGGAAGATCAGCGTAAGTATCATCTCCAATGTCAAAGTGCAACCCGCCAAAGCATTTGATAATACTATCACGCCATACGTTTGATACATACAAGCAAGGGATTGACTTTGATGAATTCGAAAGACAACCATTCGTAATCATGGGAATAAGTGTTGTCATCACAATATCGACAGGCAGTTGGCTGATAAAGTCGATGCGTGTGTTTTGGCGTTGTTCAGCATCCATTTTGGCTCGTTGCAGTTCATCATAATGCGTATCCATGACATCCACCTTCGTCATCCCTTTGTCGCATACACGAATGGCTTGAAGCTGTTTTCCTTGCTCGCTGTAAATGCTGGCTTCTCGTATATATCCAAGTGGTGAAGAAGGCGATAGCTTTTGCATAGCTTTGGCATCATGAAGAGCCGATTCAAAGTTGGCGCACTTTGTGAAGCCAATGGCGCGTCGATCCAAAGCTGACAAGATCGATTGAATGGATTGATGGAGTTGTGTGGTTGATTCGTAGACAAGCTGTGCATATTTTTGAGACGAGGCTTTGAGTGTTGGCTGTTTGCATAAAGCGTTCCAAATCGAGTTGTCCATTGTTGGTTGGCTGGGAAACAAGAAGGGGCCAACTCACCCAAACATAAAAATTATTGGCTTAAAACCCCCGAGGTAACAGGCTGCTGCTGCTTTATTCCCCTTTTGCTCCAACAACGACACCCTTCTATACTCTTTGACTCTCTCTAAAGCTTTACTTTTGCTCCTGGTTGACATTCCTCGTACGCCATCTGCCAACAGAATTGCCTTCAGCCAACATTCGTCACCTTGGTTACGCGTCATTCCTACAGCAACTTTGGGTCGCGTATCGCTTTCTTGTACTCGTTTCAGCTTCCTCTTTTACACCACGCTAAACAACTTGCACGTTTATCGTTCACGCTTCCCCTCAAAACGATCGCCACAATTGCTGTAGCCTCATCAGGTTCAAGATCCTAGTGCTGGCTTTCAGCTTGACTAGCCGAAAGGTGCCCAACACGGCTATGGGGTGTAAACCAGTTGCCAGCAAACCAAGTCTGCTTTGTTCCACTTTCATATGGTCTAAAAACATTGGTACGTGTAATATTATGGGATTGGAAAGTGTTTGCAACGCCCTAACGGCGTTTATTTCTTTCTAGCTGCTCATCATCATCGTCATCATCATCATCATCTGCATCATCATCATCATCATCTGCATCATCACCATCATCATCAACAGGCACCTGTCATTGTTGCAGCATGTAAGTCGATGGAGGATGATTGTATGTACTATGGCACCTTTTCCCTTATGCCGGTCCGTTGATATTATCAGGTCTCAGCATTCCTTCCTGTCTTCGGTTTCATTTATGCCGTCGCGTTGGTGATGGGTGTTGTCATAGTTTTCTCCTTCTATGATGTATCTGGAGCTGGATTAAAGTAAGATCCATGGCGGGTCTTTAGGCAGATAAGGTAGGCTAGGATGATGGATCTTGTGGGTATACTTGTTCATCAGGGCGAAGATTTGGCAGCTATGTTTGGGACTACGCACTTTGGATAAACGCACAAGGGGTATGGTAAGGCTTCTAATGTTGTTATCAAGGTGGATGGTGGGTATTAGTGGCTTGCTAGAGGTAGTAGTATAGCTTTTTCGGTTTATCAAAATAAAACGGAATGCATCATATTGCATGAAGATGAGTTGCTAGGCTATGGACGTGATACAATCGTAGAGCACATACACGTTTTCTGCCACCTTGACATTGGTATCACCATGCGTCACAAAAGGAAGACTCAAAGTTGTTTATCCCTCATTAAAAGAACATCTTATCCGAGAAGGACTCGATATGATACCTGCAACCGTCACCATGTAAACATCCAAACATCATCATCATCATCATCATCATCACCATCATCATCATCATCATCATCATCATCATGCAAGAGATATCTAACCATAATGCTCCTTCTTTTCTGATACTCCATACATAGTTCAACCCCTTGTACATGAATGGCTCCACACCTAATATGCTCATGACCGCTTTCGCATTCAATTTTTAATCACGTGCATCATATTGTAGTTCACGTTCGTTGTCAAGCAGATGTCTCATCTTTGCAAGTACAACAAGTACAAAAGAGCCATCAGTGGTCATCCTGAATGCCATAGCTAGTAATCTAATCTGGTTTATGGAGGATCCATGAGTACATTTATGAGAGCGTTGCGGTAAATTTTGTCTTTAAATCAGAAAAGCGTAGCTGCATTTACTATCAAAAGCTTATTACACATATGCGACGTACTACAATTAGAGCAATCCCTGCCAAGAAAGGTACCATACTGGCTCATTCATGTAGCCCTGAGGAAGGATACGATTACCATCATAGCTTTCTTTAATAGTCTGGGTGACTTTAAACGCATGTAGCCATGGAGTGGAAAAGAACGGTGGCAAGCAAGGAGTACCTAAGCTTTCTTTTTCTCTTTTGAGCTTATTACGCTGTCCTACAAAGCTGCTATACTAAGGAATCATAGCATGGTATCCCTTGGTGTATCTCGTTACAAATGCAATCACAAACCAAAAACACAGGTGACATGGTTTATGAGGGACCACGTTGCCCTATATGAGAGAGAAGATGATGATTGCTACCCATGCGTCTTAATATGTACGTATTAATGCATACATGCCATCAAAGCGATGTTTATTTATTCATCCTCTTCCCAGATGCTTAAAAGTGAGCTACAAACAAGGATCCATCTAATGTATGGAATTTTCAACAAGGTCGGAGCAACCTCTGGATAATCAATTTCAAATCCGGTCTTTGTTCCTCAAGACGCTGAAGACGGTACATGTTCTTTGCATTTGCTGAGCTGATATGAATGCATTTGAGTTGTGAAAAGGATTGAATTGCATGCCAAAAACCATCGTCGTCATCCATGTCCTTGATTGAAAACCCAAATTCATCCAAATGTTCAAGCCGTTTCAAAGCATTCATTGAGCTCGTCGATGGGGTGTTTTTGTAGCTGATCATCAAGGTGGATAGATTTTGACATCGTTTCGGAAGCCCGTCGAAGAATCGTTGCATTTGAGTAGAATCCCAATCACCAGTACATTCAATCCTCAAACATTCAAGTTGCCCAAGGTGCAAGATTGCGTCTAGCACATCGTCGATATTCTTGGAGCTATAAAACACTATGGCAAGCTCTTTCACATGGGAATGATGGGCGTACAGATCAAGGTATCTTGTGAGTGGCCTGCTGCCGACACGTGTAACGGTACAAGGAAGGGTCAATCCTAGCTTCTTTAGCTTGGGTGGCAATGGTAGAGTATCAAACACGGGTGATTCTGGATCAGGTAGGGAGCAATATATATCCAATTCCTCAAGCATGGGCGCGTTGTGCAGTATCCACCATCCAGAGTCGTGAAGGTAAAGCCTCCTTAATCGAGAGTACTCAATGTTGTAGATCCCCTCGTATACATTCGTTGGATCCATACGATAGCTGATGGATTCAAGCGTGTTTCGGTGCTGCCTTAGTATATAAAGAACACTCTCCAAAGCTGCACTTGCCATATGAGTCATTTCCAAAGAAAATCTCGTAACTCCAATATCTTTATGTCGGCGGCCATAAGCATTGAATCTAATGCCCAAACGTGAACCATATTCATAAAAGTCGAGATCGTTCATCCAAGGGTAATAGTCCAAGATAACACGTGTTGCTTCCATGTCTTCGCAAGAGGCAAATTCGAGGCTCTGGAGTGATGGAAAACGCTTGCCAATCGCCATAGCTTCATCACAGGTAAATATGTCATCCGATGGAAGTGTCAATGTTGTTAATTTGGGCCATGTGGTCATTGGGAGGGAGCTGATATTTGCTGCGCATGATTGCGTTACCTCGAGTGAAACAAGATTGGGGGAGTTGACGAGAATGTCCTCTATCGATATCGTTGTCGCTCGATTGTGTGCAATCTGAAGATGTGTCAAAGTGCTGCCGATGGGCTTCAATGATGAGACCAAGTAATCAGCGCAATTAGCCGAGCAGCCTTATATAGATTGGGATCAATACAAGCGTATGATTGAATGAAGATTATCACCTTACCCTCAATGGTTAACTCCTCTAAAGACGAAAAGTCATTATTGCGTAGTAAATCACCAAGCCATGTCCCTTTCGAATATCGATTAACCTCCAATGTCACGATATGGGGAGCAATCGCGACGACTTTTGAAAGATCGGCGGAGTCGTCATCTCCAATCTCAAAATGCAACCCATCAAAGCATTTGATAATACTATCACGCCATACGTTTGATACATACAAGCAAGGGATTGACTTTGATGAATTCGAAAGACAACCATTCGTAATCATGGGAATAAGTGTTGTCATCACAATATCGACAGGAAGTTGGCTGATAAAGTCGACGCGTGTGTTTTGGCGTTGCTCAGCATCCGTTTTGGCTCGTTTCAATGCATCATACTGGGTATCCATGGTACCCACCATCGTCATTGCCTTGTCACATATATCGATTACTTGAAGCTGTTGTCCTTGTTCACTGTAAATGCCGGCTTCTCGTATATATCCAAGTGCTGAAAAAGGTGCAAGTTGTTGCAAAACCTTGGCATCGCGAAGAGCCGATTCAAAGTTGGCACACTTTGTCAACCCAATGGCGCGTAGATTCAAAGCTGACAAGATGGGTTGAAGGGATTGATGGAGCTGTATGGTTGAATCGTAAACAAGCTTTGCATATTTTTCAGAAAAGGCTTTGAGTTTGGGCTGTTTGCATAAAGCGTTCCAAATCGAGTCGTCCATTGATGGTTGGCTGGGAAACAAGAAAGCTGTGTGCCACCACCCCAAACATAAAAATTATTGGCCTACCGCACCCTGAAACAAATCGGCTTTATTCCCGGTTGCTCCAATAATGACTCCTTTCTATACCTTGCCACGTTCTCCAAAGCTTTACTTTTCCTCTTTGTCGACATGTCTCTTTCGCCATCTATCAACACAATTGGCTCCAACCAGCATTCGTCCCCTTGGTTACGCGTCATCTCTACAACAGCCTCTGGTGACTCATCACTTTCTTGTACTTCTTTCAGCTTACTCTTTTACACCACGTTACTAAACTTGCACGTTTGACAACGATACCTCCACCGAAAAACGATCGCTACAATTGGTACCGGCTCATTGGGTTCAAGATTGTGGTGCTCTCTTTGAGCTTGACCCCTCCCAAGGCACCTAAAAAGAGGGTATGGTGTTTAAAGGGGCTATCAGCCGATCACGCATTCTTACGACGTTGCTCACTACACTTTGACGTGGGATAAGGGCATTGGTACGTGGAATATTGTGAGGGAGGAAAAGTTGACAATGTACTAACGGTCGTTTTTTATTTCAAGCTGCTTGTTATCATCATCAACATCATCATGAAGGACATTTCAAAGCAAGCTCGCGATCGTTTTTATTGAATCTGGTTGTCTCAGCAGCTATGTCACCAGAGGATGATGGCCTATGCAACAACACCTTTTCCGTCAAGCTGGTCCCTTGATGTTATCACGTCTCAATATGCCTTACGGCATGGTTCTCATTATACGCTGCCCCGTTCGTGATGGGTGGTGTCACTGTTTCATGCTTTTGTGATGGATCTGGAGCTGGGTAGATAAGGTAGGTTAGGATGATGCATCTTGTGGATATGCTTGTTGAAGGACGTAAAAGGATTGGCTGGTAGTGTATCCCGGGAACGATGCATGTGGGAACGCAAATTGGATATGGGAAGGCTCCCGAGATTATGGTAAAAGTGGATGATGGGCATTAGTAAGTTGATAGTGATAGTAGTATGGCTCTTGGATTATCAAAATAAAATGAGATGTATCAAATCGTCAAGGGTATGGGTTGCCGGGGTGATGGACGCGATGCAATCATAGAGCACATACATACCTTCTGTTTCCTTATATTGGTATGAGCAAGGAGTTACAGAAGGACAACCAAACACTGCTTCGCTCTCAACAAGAGAACGTCTTTTCATGCAATAGCCACTTCACATCAGGCATTCAATCATCATCATGCAGACACCCCATCATGACCATGACGGCATCAAATCATCATGCTCCTTGTTTGTTTCTCTATCGCCGATTCTGCTGCTTCCACAATAAATGGGACCACTCTTGATACTCTCAAGGCCTCTTTTCGCGTCCCAAGTTTAAGCACGTGTAGCATATTGAAGTTCTCGTTCGTTGGAAAACAGATGTCGCACCTTTGCAAATGTAACAAGTGCAAATTAACGATACCCATGTTCGTCATCAATGCTGTCCTTCAAAAGCTGACTTGATTCCGTGAAGGATGACACACACAATTTTGAGGCTGTGATGCCAAATGTTGTATTTAAACACGAACCACATAGATGACGCTACTAAGAAAGCCTATTACACATATGCGATTGACTACATTTAGTGCAATCCTTGCCAATAAAGATCGCATGATGGTTGATGTACGTAGCAATGAATCAATGATAAGGCTGCTATGATGGCTTGTGTAGTAAACTGGGAGATGATTTTAATGTATGACACCATGATTGCAACAACATGTTCAGCAGCAGGGATCATTGAACCCCCGTTTTCTCTTACGTCATGATTATCATTTACGCAGCAGCTATAGCATGGCAATGATATCATACAATTTTACCATTTCGTGTAGCTCCCTACAATAAACAATCCCAAACGAACAAAGAGCTGACCATGTTAATAGGGAACCACTGTTAGCCTATATGTGGCAGCAGCTGATAATTCTAATCGATTCGCCTTGAACGTGCATTAAGGGATACATGATGCCAAAAGCAATGTTTATTTATCCTGCGTACAAATTCCTTTAGAACACAAGCGAGGTACATCGGATACATAGAATCCATGTAACGGGGGAATTTTCAAAAGTAGGCCATGCGTCTATTGACAACAAACTTCAAATCAGGTCGTTGTTCATGGAGGCGCCGAATGCGGGACATATTGGTTACACTTGCAGGGTAGATATGAACACATTTGAGTTGTGAAAATGATTCAATTGTATGCCAAAAACCTTCGTTGCCATCATTGTCCCATATGTCGAACCCAATCTCCTCCAAATGTTCAAGTCGCTTCAAAACACTCATTGCGTATATTGACGGGGCGTTTTTGCAGTTGATCATAAGGCTGGATATCTTGGGACATCCCTTGGTAAGCTCCTCAAAGAAGTGTTGCATTCTAGTGACATCCCAATGACCAAAAACAAATATCCTCAAGCGTTCAAGTTGGCCAAGGTGAAGGATTGGATCTAACAAACTGTCGAAATCCGAGGGGCTGAGCGACACATCGAGTTCTTTCAACCGTGGATGCTGGGAATAGCGATGGAGGTATCTTGCGAAAGGCGTTTTGTCGATGGGGCGAAGTGGAAATGAAGTACAAAGGTCGAGTTTTAGCTTGTTTAAATTTGGTGGCAATGGCGTTGTATCACGCACGGTACATTCTGCAGCAAGTACGAAGCATGATATCTCCAATTCCTCAAGCATGGGTGCGTTGTGTGGTATCCACCATCCACAGCTTTGAAGACAAAGTTTTTTCAATCGAGCATACTCAATGTTGTAGATCTCGACAGGTTCGCCGTCATCTTCCACATCGAAGTTGATGTATTCGAGCGTTTTTTGATGGTGCTGTAGTATATACATAACGGATTCCCAAGGAGTGAATTGATCAGGATTCATGTCGAATCTCGTAATCCCAACCTCTTTACTTCCGGGTCCATCACCATAGAAAGTAATATCGATACCATCACCACACTCGCACTCGTCAAAATCAAGGTTGTTCATCCAGGGATAATATTCCAAGACAACGCGCGTGCATTCCATATCTTCGCATGGGCGAAATTGTAGCTTCTTGAGGGATGGAAAACGCTTGCCAATCGCTCTGATCTCTTCGCAAGCAATCATCCCACCATTGAACATGTCGTCTAACGTCCACGAGATTGTCAATGTCGTTATTTTGGGCCATGTCGTCATTGGAAGGGAGGCGATATCTGTAGCACAGGGTTGGGCTATTTCCAGTGAAACCAGATTGGGGCAGTTGACAAGAACCTCTTCCATCGGTACCATCATCCCATTCTCGACTTGAATTTGAAGATGTGTCAAAGTGCTGCTGATTGACTTTAATGACGAAACACAGTAAGGCAAGCAATTAGCCGAGACGTCTTATAGAAACAAGGATCAATAAAAGTGCATGATGGAATGAATATGTACAACTTACCTCCAATGTATAACTCCTGTAAAGAGCAAAGGTCATTGTTGCGTAGTAAATCGCCAAGCCATGTGCCTTTGGAATACCACCCAACGTCGAATCTCTTGATATGGCGTGAAAACGTGGCGATTTGTGGATGAATGGTGTCGTCATCATCCTTAGTCGCAAACTGTAATCCACCAAAGCATTTAATAATACGATCACGCCATACATTGGATATATCCAAAAAGGAGTTGGCTCCATTGAACGCAAGGGTTGATCATCCATAAACATGGGAATGAGTGTCATGATGACAATGTCAAGAGATAGTTGGCTGATAAAGTCGATGCGTGTGTTTTGGCGTTGCTCAGCATCCATTTTGGCTCGTTGCAGTGTATCATAGTGCGTATCCATGGTGTCAACAAGACTCATGCCATGGTTGCATACACGAATGGCTTCAAGCTGTTTTCCTTGTTCACTGTAAATGTTGGCTTCGCGTATGTATCCAAGTGGTGAAGAAGGCGAAAGGTACTGCAAAGCCTTGGCATCGTGAAGAGCAGATTCAAAGTTGGCGCACTTTGTCAACCCAATGGCACGTAGATTCAAAGCTGACGAGATGGACTCAAGGGATTGATGGAGTTGTATTGTTGAATCGTGAACAAGTTTTGCATATTGTTGAGACGAGGCTTTGAGCGTGGGCTGTTTGCATAAATCGTTCCAAATCGAGTCTGCCATGGTTGGTTGGCTGGGAAACAAGAAGGGGCCAGCTCACCCAAACAGAAAAATTCATTGGCTAAATACTCCCTGCGGACAGGGCGCTGCTTTATTGCCCTTTTGCTCTAACAACAGCTGTTTTGTATACTTGAACGCTTTCTCTAAAGCTTTACTTTTGCTCCTTGTCGACATTCCTCGTCCTCCATTGCCACCAGAATTAGTCTCTGTCTGCATTCCTCTCCTTGGTTACGCGTCATCTCTATGGCAACAACCTCTGGTGACTCGTCTCTTTCTTATGCTTCTTTCAGCTTTCTCTTTTACACCACGCCACTCAACTCGCATGATTGACAGTGACCCCTCCAGGGGAAAAACGATCGCTACAATTGGTACCGGCTCATTGGGTTCAAGATCGTGGAGCTCTTCTTGTGCTTGACTACTCCCAAAGCACCTAACATGGGTATCATGTTTAAACAGGCTATCAGCAAAGCACGCATTCTTATGACGGTTTCCGTTATACTTTGACGTGGGATAAAGGTATTGGTACATGGAATATGATGAAGGAGGAAAAGTCGACAACGTGCTAACGGTGATTTTTTATATCAAGCTGCTTGTTATCATCATCATCATCATCATCATCATCAGCATCAGCATCATCAGCATCAGCATCAGCATCAGCATCAGCATCATCAGCATCATCATCAACCTTTCAAAGCATACACGCGATCGTTTTTCATGAAGGTATTTGTTACAGCATCCGAATCGGCAATGGATGATGCCATGTACCACGCCATATTTTGTCTCAAGCTTTTCCTTTTATACCATTGGGTCTCATTATGTACGGGTTCATCTTTTCCATTATACGCTATCGCCTTGGTGCTGGATCGTGGTGATGTTTTTCCTTCTACGGTGCATGCACAGTTGGATCAAAGCAACATGCCTGATGATGAGGTGAGTTAGGATGGTGGATCTTGTGGATATGCTCGTTCAGAGTGATGCAAGGAGTGCCAGGCATACATGTACATACTGTGTCCAGGGGTCTATACACGTTGGATGAGCTTACAGTGGGATATGGTAAGGGATCATGGGGTTACGGGCAAACCGGATGATGGGCATTGGCGGCTCGCTAGTTATAGTAGTATAGCTTTTGGTTTATCAGAATAAAAGGATGTGGGTCAAGTTGCCAAGGAGATGGGTTGCCAGGTGATGGACATGATACAATCTTAAAGCATATACATCTTTTACATTGATATGGTCATGGAGGTACACTGTTCCTCTATATTAGACACCATTGTATAATTGTAATCTATCCATCTTCAAGTTTATAGATGCATAACCCTAAAGTAATGTTTATTGATCATATTTGAAAATCACTACAGCACACAAGCGAGGTATGGTAGACAAGGATCCAGGCAATCGTGATAATTTCAATAGTACCCCTACCATCTCTTGGCGACAATCTTCAAATCAGGCCTTTGTTGATAGAGACACCGAAGACGATGCATGTTGGTTGCATTTGAAGGATAGATGTGGATACATTTGAGTTGTGAAAAGGTTTGAATTGCATGCCAAAACGCATCGTCGTCATCCATGTCCATGATTGAAAATTCCAATTCATTCAAATGTTTAAGCCGTTTCAAAATGCTCATTGAGTAAGCCGATGGGGCATTTCTGCTTCTGATACCAAGGCGAGATAAATTTGGACATCCTTTGATAAGCCCATCAACAAAGTCTGCCATTTCAATGAAATCAACAGTAAATCGAATCATCAAGCGTTCAAGTTGGCCAAGGTGAAGGATTGCCCCTAGCACATTGTCGATATCAATCGTGCTGGCGAACGCAATCACGAGTTCTTTTAGCTGGGCATGGTTGGCATAGCGATTAAGGTATCGTGCGAAAGGCTCTGTGCCGCGGTACTGAAGAGGAAAAAGGTCCAGTTGAAGCTTCCTTAGATTTTGTGGTAATGGTGCTGTATCAGATACGAGACGTTTTGTGTCGGCGGTAAAGCATTGAATCCCCAATTCCTCAAGCATAGGCGCGTTGTGCGGTATCCACCATCCAGAGTTGCGAAGATAAAGTTTCTTCAATCGAACGAACTCAATGTTGTAGATCCCCTCGCGCATATTACTAGCATCCGCATGGTAGTTGATATCCTCAAGTGTGTGGTGATGCTGCCTTAGTATATCAACAAGACTTCCCCAAAGAGCGTGATTCACGTTATTCATGTTGATAGAAAGCCTCCTAATCGCTTCGTCTTCACGTCGGGATCCATCATCATTGAAGGCAATGTTGCAACCTGCGCCTGCACCATGCTCAATCAGACTTAGATTGTTCATCGAGGGGTAATAATCCAAGACAATGCGTGTTGAATCCATATCTTCGCATGGTGAAAATTGTAGTTGCTTGAGCGATGGAAAACGTTTGCCAATAGCCATCACTTCATTCGAGGTAATCATGTTGTTGGAAATAATAGTGAATGATGTTAATTTGGGCCATGTCGTCATTGGAAGAGAACTGATATCTGTAGCACAAAGGTTGGTTAACCGGAGAAAAACGAGATTGGGGCACGTGGCGAGGATGTTGCCTATCGGAAGTGTGGTTCCCCCATCCTGCTCCAGTTCAAAATGCGTCAACGTTCTGCTGATGGACCCCAACGACGATACCAATTGACCAACATAATTGGGTGAGCAACCTTATAGAGGGTAGGATGAATACAAGCGCATGATAGAATGAATATGTACAACTTGCCATCGATGCATAACTTTTTTAAAGAGCAAAAGTTGTCGTAACGAAGTAAATCATCAAGCCATGTGCCGTTGGAATATCCAACAACCTCCAATAATGTGACATGGCGAGCAAATTTAGTGATGTCTGAAAGTTCGTCTTCGTCATCATCTCCAGTCTGATAATGTAATCCACCCAAGCATTCTATAATACGATGACGCCATACATTGGATACATCCAAATAAGGGGGTTGGTTGAATGAATGCAAGGGTCGACCATCCGCGATCATAGGAATGAGCGTTGTAGTAACAATATCGAGGGGTAGTTCGCTGATAAAGTCGATGCGTGTGTCTTGGCGTTCCTCAGCATCTATTTTGGCTCGTTTCAAATCATCATAGTGCGTATCCATGGGATCGACGCTCCTCAGTCCCTTGTTGCATACACGAATGACTTGACATTGTCTTCCTTGTTCGCTGTAAATGTCAGCTTCGCGTATATATCCAAGTGCTGACGAAGGCGACAGGTGTTGCATAACTCTGGCATCGCGAAGAGCAGATGCAAAGTTGGCGCACTTTGTCAACCCAATGGCGCGTCGATCCAAAGCTGACCAGATGGGTTCAAGGGATTGATGGAGTTGTATTGTTGATTCGTAAACAAGCTCTGCATATTGTTGAGACGAGGCTTTGAGTACAGGCTGCTTGCATAAATCGGTCCAAAAAGAGTACGTCATTGTTGGTTGGCTGGGAAACAAGAAGGGGACGTCGCCACCCAAACTGAAAATTGGCGGATAAATCCTCCGAGGCAACAGGCTGTTGCTTTATTCCCCTTTTTACCCCAACAACGACACCCTTCTATACTTGTCCCAAGCCTTACTTTTACTCCTCGTTGACATTCCTCGTACGCCATCTGCCAACAGAATTGGCTTCAGCCAACATTCGTCTCCTTGGTTACGCGTCATCCCTACAGCAACTTTGGGTCGCGCATCGCTTTCTTGTACTCGTTTCAGCTTCCTCTTTTACACTACGCTAGACAACGTGAACGTTTGACAAAGACCCCTCCAGAATGGAAACGATCGCCACCATTGTTGCAGCCTCATCTGGTCGAGATTCTGGGTAAGTATTCAGCTTGACATGGACAAACACACCTAACACAGGTATGGTATAGAAACGAGTTACCAGCAACCCAAAGGTATTGTACAACTTTGTTCGATATACGTTGATCTCGGAAAAAGGAATCGGTAGGTGCAATACCATGAGGAGTGAAATGCTGCAACGGCCTAAAGGTGTTTTTTTTGGTTTCAAGCTGTTGGCCAATACGATCATCATCATCATCATCTTCAAGACATTTGTCAAACCATTCACAAGGTCAAACTTTTGGATGTCATTGCTTCAGCACCCAAATTCCCATAGGATGATGACATGCCCGGCTACAACTTTTTCCCTCGATCTAGTCTCTTTAGCAAGTCTCAAGATGGGTTTACCTTTTTACGTTCATTATATGGTGTTGCTTTGGTGTTCGATTGGGTCGCCATATTTCCTTCTATGGTATATGCAGATCCGGGTCCAAATACCATGCAGGAAGATCTTTCAGGATGATGACGGAGGAGAAGGTTGGTTAGGATGATGGGTCTTGTGGATACGCTTGTTGAAAGAGCTGCAACGAATGGCAGGCATACATGTATTCACCGTAACCATGGGCTTTTGCAGGTTGGATGAACGCACAATGGGATATGGTAAGGGATCATCATGTTGTGGTTAAAGCGGATGATAGACATAGGTGGCTCGCTAGTCATAGTAGTATAGGTTATTGGCTTATCAGAATAAAATGATGTGGATACAGTTGCCAAGGAGATCGGTTGCCATGTGATGGGTTTGAAACAATCCTAGAGCCCCATTGCAATTTCTGTCGCTTTTTATAGTGGAATGAGCATGGAGTCACAAAAGGAACACCCGCACACTACTTCCCTCTCATCATCAGGACGTATTCGTATCGAGCAGCCACTTGGCATCAGGCATTCGATCATCATCATGAAGGCATTAAATCATCATGCTCCTTCTTTCATACTCTAGAGCTGATTCTGCCCCTTCAACAATAAATGGGCTCACGCTTTTCGTATTCTGAGTTGAATGACATGCAGCCTTTTTAGTTTTGGTACGTTACCAAATAGATGTCCCAGCTTTGCAAACGTCACGCGTAGGTATGGATCATATCAGTGATCATTAATAATGAAGACGTTTATACTTTAACTCAATGTATGGATCGATCACGATTACATTTATGCGATTATGATTGTGGTTAAAACAGCTATAGCATTTAATTAAGAAAACGTAGCTGGCGCTAGCGAGAAAGCTTGATTAGGCATACGCGATGCACTACGGTTAGCGCAATCGCTAGCAATAAGAGCAAATGATGGTTCGTCTATGTAGCGTGGATTGAAGGATATGATGGTTTTGACGGCTTGGCTATTGAAGTAGGTGATGATGTGAATGCATGCAGTTAAGCAGCACCAGAGAATGTTAGCAAGCAAGAACCGCCTATGCTTCCATTTTCTATTAGCAAACTTATTTTAGATGCTGGTTTGCGTGGTGCGGATTATCCGGTGCATGGAATTATAGCATTTAATGATAGATACAACTCCTACAATGGAAAATTGAAGACCAAAGAAGGCTGTCACTGTTCATGAGTGACCCCAAGCGGCCTATATGAGATAGCAATCCAGTGTAATCCATATGTATTCACGCTGTTGATGTATATATGACAACCAAGCATTTTTTATTCATGCTGCGTATACGCCGCTGGAAAAAAAGCTATATAAAGTAGGTAAGGACCCATCAAATGACAACAGTGCTATAAAAATGCGCCAATCGTTTGTTGGCCACAATCTTCAAATCAGGCCTTTGTGCATGGAGATGCCGAAGATGGTGGATGTTCTTTGTATTTGCAGGGTAGACATGGATACATTTGAGTTGTGAAAAGCTTGCAATTGCGTGCCAAAAACCGTCGTTGCCATCCATGTTCCATATGTGGAACCGAAACTCCTCCAAATGTTCAAGCCTTTTCAAAGCACTCATTGCGTATATCGTTGGGGCGTTTTCACAGCTGATCATCAGGCTGGATAGATTGGGACATCCTTTGGGAAGCTCCTCAAATAATTCTTGCATTTGGATCGAATCCCAATGACCAGAAACAAAAATGCTCAAGCGTTCGAGTTGACCAAGGTGAAGGATAGCTTCGAGCATGTTGTCGATATGCTCCTCAGGGTTGAGAGAAACAGCAAGTTCTTTCAAGCATAAATGCTGGGCATATCGATGAAGGTATCTTGCAAAAGGCGTTTTGTCAATAGGACGAAGCGAATTAGAAAGGTCCAGTTTCAGCTTCTTTAAATTCGGTGGCAATGGTGTTGTATCACGCACGGTAAATTCTGCAGCAAGTACGAAGCATGATATCTCCAATTCCTCAAGCATGGGTGCGTTGTGTGGTATCCACCATCCAGAGCTTTGAAGATGAAGTTTCTTCAATCGAACATACTCAATGTTGTAGATCTCCTCGGGTTCAGTGCGAGTGTCCACATCGAAGTGTATGTATTCAAGCGTTTTTCGATGTTGACATAGTACATAAACAACACTTTCCCAAGGCGCGTGTGTCATATGATAAATGTCGACAAAGAGTCTCGTAATCCCAACCTCGTTACAACGATGTCCATCATCATAGAAAGTAATATCGAAACCCGCACCATACTCAATAACGTCGAGGTTGTTCATCCAGGGATAATATTCCAAGACAACACGTATGCATTCCGTATCTTCACATGGACGAAATTGTAGCTTCTTGAGGGATGGAAAACGCTTGCCAATCGCTCTGATCTGGTGACATGTAATCATCGCACTGTTGTTAATATCCTCTGCAGTCGAAAAGATGACCAATGTCGTTATTTTAGGCCATGACGCCATTCGAAGGGAGCTGATACCGGTAGCACAGGGTTGGGCTATTTCCAGGGAAACCAGATTGGGGCAGTTGACAAGAACCTCCTCCATCGGTACCATCATCCCATTCTCGACTTGAATTTGAAGATGTGTCAAAGTGTCGCTGATTGGCTTCAATGACGAAATAAAGTAAGGCAAGCAATTGGCCGAGAAACCTTTTAGGAAGTAGGATGAACACAAGCGCATCATGGAATGAATATGTACAACTTACTTTCAATGTATAACTCCTGTAAAGAGCAAAGGTCATTGTTGCGTAGTAAATCACAAAGCCACGTGCCTTCCGAATACCAATCAACATCCAATCTCTTGACATGGCGAGCAAACTGGGCGATTTGTGAATGAATGGCGTCGTCATCATCCCCAGTCTCAAAGCTTAATCCACCAAAGCATTTGATAATACGATCACACCATACATTGGATACATCCAAAAAAGGAGCTGGCTCCATTGAACGCAAGGGTTGATCATCCATAAACATGGGAATGAGTGTCGTGGTTACAATGTCGAGAGGTAGTTGGCTGATAAAGTCGATGCGTGTGTTTTGGCGTTGCTCAGCATCCATTTTGACTCGTTGCAGTGTATCATAGTGGGTATCCAAGGTGTCAACAAGACTCATGCCATGGTTGCATACACGAATGGCTTCAAGCTGTTTTCCTTGTTCACTGTAAATGCTGGCTTCCCGTATGTATCCAAGTGCAGAAGAAGGCGACAGGTATTGCATAACTTTGGCATCGTGAAAAGCTGATTCAAAGTTGGCACACTTTGTCAACCCAATGGCGCGTAGATTCAGAGCTGACAAGATGGGTTCAAGGGATTGATGGAGTCGTGTGGTCGAATCGTGAACGAGCTGTGCATACTTTTCAGAAGGGGCTTTGAGTATTGGCTGCTTGCATAAATCGTTCCAAATCGTGTCTGCCATTGTTGGTTGGCTGGGAAACAAGAAGGGGTCGCCACCGAAACAGAAAAATTATTGGCTTCAATCCGCCGAGGCAACAGGCTGCTGCTTTGTTGCCCTTTTTACTCCAACAACGACCCCTTCTATAATTGACTACCTTCTCTAAAGCCTTACTTATGCTCCTTGTCGACATTCCTTGTTCGCCATCTGCCACCAGAATTAGTCTCAGTCAGCATTCCTCTCCTTGGTTACGCGCATCTCTACAACAACTTCAGGTGGCTCATAGCTTCCTTGTACTCTTTTCAGCTTATTTTACTACAGCACGGTAGACAACTTGCAAGTTGATAACAAGGCGTCCACAACAAAACGATCGTCAACAATTGGTACCGGCTCATTGGGTTCAAGATCGTGGTTCTCTTTTTGAGCTTGACAACTCCCAAGGCACCTAAAACGGGTATGGTGTTTAAAGGGGCCATCACCAAACCAAGCATTCTTACCACGTTGTTCACTACATTTTGACGTGGGTAAGGCATTGGTAAGTGGAATATTGTGAGCGAGGAAATGGTGACAACGTTTGCTAAGGGTGGGTTTTTATTTCAAGTTGCTTGTTATCATCATGATCATCATCATCAAGCACCTTTCAAAGCAAGCTCGCGATCGTTTTTATTGTATGTGGTTGTTTCAGCACCCGAATCGGCAAAGGATGATGCCATGTACCACGCCATATTTTGTCTCAAGCAGTTCATTTGATACCATCGGGTCTCATTATGTATGGGTTCATCTCTTCCATTATATGCTGTCCCCTTGGTGTTGGATCGTGGCGATGGTTTTCCTTTTACGGTGCATGCACAGCCGGATCGAAGCAACATGCGTGGTGATGAGGTAAAGTAAGACGATGGATCTTTTGGATATGCTTGATCAAGTGGCGCAAGGAGTGGCAGGGTATTTATGTATTTGCTGTATCCATGGTCTTTTGCTGAATGAATGAGCGCACAATGGGATATGGTAAGGGATCATCATGTTGTGGTTAAAGTGGATGATGGATATTGGTGTCTCGCTAGTCATCGTAGTATAGCTATTTGGGTTATCAGAATAAAATGATGTGGATGCAGTTGCCAAGGAGATCGGTTGCCAAGCGTTGGATATGAAACAATCCTAGAGCCCCATTACTATTTCTGCCGGCTTTATAGTGGAATGAGCATGGAGTCACAAAAGTAACACCCGCACACTACTTCCATCTCCTCATGAGGACGTCTTCGTGTCCAGCAGCCACTTGGCATCAGACATTCAATCATCATCATGATGGCATCAAATCATCATGCTCCTTCTTTCATACTGTATAGCTGATTCTGCCCCTTCCACAATAAATGGGCCCATGCTTTTCTCATTCTGAGTTGGATGACGTGCAGCCTTTTATAGGTTTGGTACGTTACCAAATAGATGTCCGAGCTTTGCAAATGTCACGCGTAGCTATGGATCATATCAGTGATCATCAATAATGAAGACATTTTTTGTTTAACTTAAATGTATGGATCCAGAACAAGTACATTTGTGTAAGGGTAGAGCGTTTAAACAAGAAAAAACGTAGTTGCCGCTACCGAGAAAGTCTGATTAGACATACGCAATGGACTACAATCAGCACAATCGATACCAATTTCATCCATGTAGCACCAATTGAAGGATATGGTGGTTTTGGTTGCTTGGCTAATGAACTGGGTGATGATTTGAATGCATGCAACTATGCAGTGCAAGAGAATGTTGGCACGCAAGCGCTACCCAAGCTTCTACTTTTAGCAATTTTATTTTGGTTGCTGGTTTAATCGGTGCCGGTTGTCACGTGAAGACCTGCTATAAGATTGAATCATTGTCATTTGATATAGCTCCTACAAAAGAAAAATTCGAAAAACCAAAGAAGGCTGTCACTGTTAATGAGAGGTCACAACATTCCTACATAGGAGACAACAATGCATTTTAGTCCAGAAGTCGTCAAGGTGTGTTATGAATACATGAAAGCAAAGCGACCTTTATTCATCTTGTTTACAAGTCTTCAGAGACACGAGCTAGGGATACAGTAGAGAAGGGCAATGTAATGAAGAGAACGTTCACCGGAATGTCAGCCGTTTGTTGACGACAATCTTCAAATCAGGCCTTTGTTCATGGAGGCGGCGAAGATGATCCATATTGGTTCCATTTCCAGGGTATACATGGATACGCTTCAGTTGTGAAAAGGTTTGAATTGCATGCCAAAACCCATCGTCGTCATGTGTGTTCTTGATCGAAACCCCAAATTCCTCCAAATGTTCGAGCCGTTTCAAAGCATTCATTGGGTACATTTCTGGGACGTGTCTGCAGCTGATCACAAGGCTCGATAAACGTGGACATCCTTTGCCAAGCCCATCAAAGAATCGTTGCATGTGAATGGTATCCCAATTACCAGCACATTCAATGCTCAAACATTCAAGATGACCAAGGTGATGGATTGCATCTAGCACATTGTCGATATCCTTGGACATGTCAAACGCAATAACAAGTTCTTTCAACTGGGGATGATGGGCATATTGATGAATGCATCGTTCAAGAGGCGCTTTCTCGGTATCATTATTTCCAGGATACAAGCGTAGCTCCAGTTTTTTCAAAGTTGGCGGCAATGGTATGGCGTCAGGCATGGTAGACTCTGAACCAAGTGAGCAGGACCATGATATCTCCAATTCCTCAAGCATAGGTGCATTGTGCGGTATCCACCATCCAGATTTGCAAAGACGAAGTTTCTTCAATCGAGCGTACTCAATGCTGTAGATCTCTCTGGGTTCATTGGAAGTAGCCACGTCGAAGTCGATGGATTCGAGCGTTTTTTGATGCTGTTGTAGTATGTGAATAACGCGTTTCCAAGGACCATTTTCCCGACAATAGGTGATGAGATCGAGTCTCGTAATCCCAACATCTTCACATCGGGGTCCATCGTCGAGAAAAATCATACAGGACCCCACAACAAACGTGATAAGGCAAAGGCTGTTCATCCATGGATAATGATCCAAGACAACGCGTGTTGATTCCATATCTTCGCATGGGGAAACTTGTAACCTCTTGAGTGACGGAAAACGTTTGCCAATCGCTATGATCTCATCACAGGTAATCATGTTTTTTCCACACAAAAACATGTTGAAGGTCGTTAATTTGGGCCATGTCGTCATTGGAAGGGAGCTGATATCTGGTGCTGCATTGGGCTGAGTTATCTCGAGGGATACCAGATTGGGACAGTTGACAAGAATGTCGCCGATCGGTAGGGTTGTCTCTCCATCGTGCTCAATTTCAAGATGTGTCAAAGTGCTGCTGACGGCCTTCAATGATGAAACGAAGTGATTAACACAATTGGCCGAGACGTCTTATAGAAACAAGGATGAGTAAAGGTGCATGAACGTATGAATACAACTTACCACCAATGGTTAGCTGCTGTAAAGAGCCAAAGTCATTATTGCGTAGTAAGTCACCAAGCCATGTGCCTTTTGAATATTCATCAACCTCCAATATCTTGAGATGACGAGCAAGCTGAACGACTGGTGTAAGATCGTCGCCTTGATATAGAATGTCGAATTCTGATCCATCCATGAATTGAAAAACACAATTGCGCCATAGATTGGACACATACAAATAAGGACATTGTACATCCCATTGTAAATGGCGGTCGATAAACATGGGAACGAGGCTTGTATTAGCAACGTCGAGAGGCAGTTCGCTTATAAAGTCGATGCGTGTGTCTAGGCGTTGCTCAGCATCCATTTTGGCTCGTTGCAATGTGGCATAACCATGATCGTTGGCATCGACAACATCGAGTCCCTTGATGCATACGTCAATCGCTTGTTGCTGTTTTCCTTGTTCACTGTGAATGTCGGCTGCACGTATATAGCCAAGCGCTAAAGAGGGTGACAGCTGTTGTATAGCTTTGGCATCGTGAAGAGCTGATTCAAAGTTGGCAAGCTTGGTCAATGCCATGGCGCGCCGATTCAAAGTTGACAGGATGGAGTGAATGGGTTCATGGAGTTGAGTGGTTGCATCGTCCACAATCGTTGCATATTTTTCAGTTGACACAGGCTGAGTGGGATGTTTGCATAAAGCGTGCCAAATGGAATCTGCCATTGTTGGTTGGCTGAGGAGGAAGGAAGGAAGAGGTCTTGTCCCACCCAAGCATCAAATCTATTGGTTCAAGCGCGTCCAGTCAAACAAAGCGGCTTTATTTCCCTCTTTTCCAACAACAGCTCCTTTCTATACTTTACCACTTTTACTAAAGCTTTACTTTTGCTCCTTGTCGACATTGCTCGTTCGCCATCTGCCAACACATTTGGTGTCAGCCGACATTCGTCTCCTTCGTTACGCGCCATCTCTGCAACAACAACTTCTGGTGGGTCATTGCTCGCTTGTACTCTTTTCAACTTCCTATTCTATAACACGCTACACAACCTCCACCTTCGTCAACGACACCTCCCACTCAAGTATACATCCTCAACAACCACACATTGTCTCTTCTTTTGTAAGATCGTGGCACTGAGCTTGGTCGTCTTGCCCAATCCAAAGGTACGCAAGAGGGCTAAACAGGTAAACGGCTGGCAGCTTTTCAATGCGCGTAGGATACATTTTGCCATGGTTACAGGTATTGGTACGTGAAGTAATAAGGACGCAACGGCGGTATGGTCATACAATGATTAATTGATTCAAGCAGCTAACCATCATCATCATCATGTTCATCATCACCAGCATCATCGCCAGCACCATCAGTATCATCACCAGCACCATCATCCACCATCAAGTACTTGCCAAAGCACTCAACCTCCACGTATGCTGCTGTACATGATTACTGATGGATGTATTTGCAACGAGTTCAACGATCCGGATTGTACGCTGCACAGCACCTTTTTATCACGAAAACCTTTTACCATTATGCAGTGCCAACTCGTCCACGTCTCATTGTTTTCATTGTATGCGATTACGACATTGTCTGATGGTATCATTGTACACCAGGTCTACGCAACGAATACCTGCATGGGTGGTAATCCTTTGGGATAAGGCGTAAGTATGGATGATGGATCAATTGGATATGTTTACTTCCATAGCTTCAGGATTGTGTATGTATTGGCTGGAGGCTCACGCAATCTGGGAGCTATGATAGAGGTCACCTATTGTATTTGGTAGCTGGATGGACTAGGCTAGTTTTATGACTCATGGAAATAAAGATAGTCAGCGTACTATTGTGAAGGATCACTGGTATTGGTTCGTGTGGGACATTGTAAGGATCATCATTCAAACTATCTTGGATGCTTGGTCACGTATCGCATCATTGCCGTCTCCTTCTCGTTCACCTCCTGCATCATAAACAAGCTATCATCTTTATTGAATAAATCCACAGTCTGGTTGTCTTGTGCCTTCATCCTCAGTCCTAGCCCTGCCTTAGATCTGATATCTTTTTCATTCCATCATTGTCTTGACTTGCCGCTTTAGGCATATACAGTTGTGATCGTGTGACTTTGCGTCAAAGATTCACTCTTGGTATCCATATTTCTGTACAGTAACTTTAATGGATGTACTTGCTCACCCTTTATATGGCATTAGCGTTCTTTTCCTGTTCATCCTAAATTATGTGCTTTAGTGCCAGGAGCACGTGTACACACCCTTTATGAGACATCTTTAATTACATCCATATTCAACATCCCTACTTGATACATTGGTACGATGTTGATGAAAACTAGTAAATCCGATCATCATCTTAAGGAATACAACGCATATGGCCGCTAGCTCGTACGATGACCTTGATTTCTTTTTCATTGAAGAGTGTGGAACTACTTCTAATAACATGTGCCCAGCTGTGTGTCCCTTGATATGGTGGATAAGGTGAAGAAGACAAAGGGGTCAATCATCATATCGTGGGATCCTGTGTAACCACTGCTGATGTTTCATCTCTCACAAGACAAATGATGCCTGCCCTTAGCTCCATCTCCGATATAAAGAAATGGGTATCTAGCTGAATGATTGCTTTATGTATGAAGGTGGGCCATATCATCAATGCTCGTTCATTGCCTATTCATGCATTAAAAGAATTATGGCACAAGTATACAACATGTCGCACTGATATTGTTAAGGGCCCGTGTAGCACGAATATGATAAAAATCGTAGACCGAAGATTAAACAGTAACCTGTGGTGTGTCTCTCTCTATTTATCTTTACTTGTAATAATGCTGGATGATTCTATCGTATGAAGCAAGACTTTGTAGCGTCTTTATTTGATGCATGGCAAGCATGATGATGCCTTGTGGCAGGTGCTGCCAAAGAGGTCCGCCTGGCATTAAACTAGGCTGGGTATCTTTTGTCTCTCTCCACTTCAACCCACTTTTACCGACACCCTCACGTATCTTATAAAGCTTTACGATTCAGTACCCCAATGCCAACATTCCACGCATTCCTCATTGTCAACTTCGAACCAATTCGCCATCGGTGGAACGCCATGCCGCGACATTAGTTTTGCCCTTTCACAATGGGAAGCACATGTCACAACGCTCACCATGGACAACACTTGAATAGTCATGTGGAGCCAATGTTCCCAGTGGGCAAGGTAACCAGTACAATATTATCCATATTTTCCAGCAGGTTCTCATCATTGTTGTTGTCAAGGATACGATAACGCCAAGCTGCAACACGCCAAAACGGAAGTCAACAACCCTGCAGCAGATACGTTGACTCTATCAGCCAACTTCGTTCCAACCTCGTTATGGAAACACTTGTTGCCATGCTTATGAATGATGGTATGCCTTTGGACACCATTATCCCATATTGGTACGTGAGAATGTGTGTGGCACGATCATTGCGTTGGCTTACAACTGATGAATGACTTGGACCTTGATACCAAACCTGAAGGAGATGGACGGCTCATCCTGTTTCAACGACCTACAAAGATGTTGATTATTGTATGGTACCCCCAAGGAGTATGGCTGAATCGTTTGCTATGCGTCAATGGGTTACACTGGTTACAGCGGCTGGACATCAATGGTAAAGAGGATCAACACCTTGCTATTCTTTCGTTGATCATCATATGCATTAGGTAATGCAAATCCCTCACTGTATGCATAGTATTGGTCTGCAACATTTTCAAACATGTTACAGTCACTCACAGCTGATGTATTGCGGTGCCATTTGAATCCTACGATGGTGGTTCAGGACCTCTCGCTATCGCCATGAAAACTCGGCTCATCTTAAGGACGATGTCTATGACCCAAGAAGGAGACAAATACGTTAGCAATCAAATAGTAAGGATTCTGAGGGATTATTAAAATACAGCACTTACGCGTTACCGAGCGCCGATGTAGGATCTGGATTCGCTGTGTCAGAGTATTATCCACCCGCCAGTGGCCTTTCAAGGATGGGAGCATCACGAAGGTGTACAACATACTTATATGGATGAATGGCATGTATGGAAAAGAAGGCACTATATTCGTACACTATTGTGCCATTGGTATGTACAGCTTTTTCTACAAACCGTGGCAGGTTAATTAACGAGCCTTACAATAGAACAGCAGCAGCATACTATGGATGGAATGGGGTCATGTTTTTATTTGAGGCAAGGATGCTATTGACAAGTACCAGAAGGTAAGAGCGCTCATTATGGACGTGGCAAATACAAGTGCACTGACGATGGAAGCTTTTACTGACAGGATTAAGAAGGCTTCATATCACTACCACGTCAAGAATGGTATTGTACTGTGTACTGTCCTGGGAAGGCCATGTAGCCGTTACCACCTTACGTGGCAACATGTGCTCATCGTGCTATGGGTTATTCCAAGACCAATTCCAATCGCATCCTCTGTCCACTGTTGCCGCATTCATTAAAGATTCAAGTACGTATGACATTTGGAAACTTCCTGGGAATTGGAAACATCCTTACTGATATCCGTCGCCTGTAGATGGATTATTGTGCGTTCAAGTCTCCAGGATTACAGCTATCATTACATAGGTGGATCATCCATCAGCATCAAGCAACAGCGTGTGTATCTTTGCCATCATCAGCATTTATTCGAGCGTTTGGTGGTTATTGGTTACCGGCAATTCCTTGCAAGACCGTTTATCGACGTAATGGATTATGGATGGATTGACCAATAACGTTTATTTCTTTTTTGGCGCCATCAACCGTTATCGCATCATCTGATGATTGCCATTACCGAGATCCTGCTTGATGTACATCGCCTAGCCCACACCTCGTATCGGCGGATTACTTTGTACCAGTAACAAACACAAGGCGTTTATCTTTGTATGGCATCACATCAATGGGAGCCCGTATGACTTTGAGCATCCAGTACCATGTATGATCAAAAAGTGGTTGGACATTCGCCTATCTATATTTTCCTCTGCATTGAGTAAGTATGAAGTGTTTGGTGATACCAATATTACGCGTCTTCTTACAATGTACACTTCTTTTATTTTACTTTGTTTCAATTGTTGGTACCACCCTACTGCATGCCTTGAAGGTGGATCATCTGGAAAAAGTGTCACCAGATTCTGGTACATACGGTTATCATTGGTAAGTGAATACCGCATTCTTTTGGAAGGCACTTGCCAACGTCCTCTTTTACAACCTATAGCAGTGGAATGTGGCTCTACTGGTACGCATGGTATTGGATTTGGAACATACGACAGGATGATCAACGAGTCTTAAAATGAAACAGCATCAGCACGTATTGGAGCGGATGGGATACAAGGTTTCTTTCACCCCTGGTGGTAATCAAGGTATTGGGTTCATTCTGGAATGGGTTACATTTGAACTTCATGGGAATTCCTTCGAAGGATGCTTATCACGTTAATGATTTATTTGTGGATCATCTGAGCAATCGATCTTTTTGGCGTCAGCCAGCAAGCTTTACCGCATCATCTGGTGCTTTGTGTTCCGAGCAACGAGTTTAATGCATCTCTTCATGATCACATCTCTTATGCATGGATTACTCTCTGTCCGCAACACGTTCGAGGCGAACACCTTTATGTGGCATCATGTTGATTGGCTTGTCGAATATCTTTGGCTATCAAGTATCATTACTTTGTTTGAAAGGGATTGCCAACGTTGGTCCGTGTATGGATTCCTCGGTCTCACGTAAGTGCACTATCGTTGGTGCTACCTGTATTCTTCACGCCTCTCACTTGTATACTACCAGGTATCCTTCCTTCACTTGCAGGCCGTATGTCAATGCAGCGTGTTATGGCAAGTGGACCATTGCAAAGGATTAGGTTCGTTTCAATACCAACACGTTTACAAGCATATGGGTATCATTGGTAAGTAATAATTCATTCTTTTATAATACAACACCCACGAACCTCCTCTTTTATTATAGCACGTGGGCTATTCAACTAACTACCTGTCTTCTGGTGTTTGGATCCTTCGTGTATGCAGCAATCAATGTAAGTATCGTGCATTTCCGTTTGGGAAAATTGTTCATCATGCATCTTTTTTAGGGGAAGCATGCGAGGATCAAGTACCAACAGCTACAGCATCTCTCATTATCGGCATACCATACTACATGATTTCATTTTGACCTGTCTTTGTATGAGCATCTCCAGCAACAAACACCGCCATTTATATCTTTTGGGGCACCTAAGCGGTACCGTGGTGTCAACATTTCTTCTCATCCACACCCTGCTATGCACACATGTTTTCGATGGATCCTATCAGCACATGCAAGAAGCAGCAATATGGTATGATGCTATCAACATTATTCGACCCTCCCGTGGATTTCATTGTTTGCCAATTGCGTTCAAGGACACACGACAACACGCCTTCTCCACGGATCCATCATACCATCAACAAGCGATTGTGTATGTGGCTTTCGGTTGTATCAAGGGTTATCGGCTGCCAAAGGCATTCATCATCAAGTAGCATACCATCCCCTGGATAACGGTTATCGTCATTGTATGGGCATTTCTATAGCAGCGAAATTAAAATTGGTTGTTGCGTGGCATCAAGCATTGTGGACTTGAATATGGCTTTGGGTAAGTATTGCATCCATTACTTGAAAGATAAATTGGTAACATGTGACTCCATAGATCGATCATTCCACCAGGCCATCGACTTCAGTACTCTTTGGTATCATGAAAGTCTATTTGGTTTGCATGCTGGGCGCTATTGTTGTGCAGGGCGAAGGTCTCTATTTGGCTTTGGATGGATTACTCAGAAGCAGGAACTGGATCGTCGTATGTGTTGTGGTTCTCAAGTACGGTTACGTCTGCCTGCGGCTTGTCTCTTTTATTGGTGGATCTTCAAAGCAACGCTTATTATTGGTTCGATGGCACACATCAATTTTCAATTCCCTGAATGAACATCGTGCTCATTCTCTCAGCATGTGATTTCTTTCGTTTGTGCTATATCTTCAAGACCACATTTATTTGGTGCTATGCATGCTGTGTCCCTGATGATGCCAAAGCAAGAAGGGCGCTTGATGGCAGCAACTACTGCTATGGTGGATATTTGTTTGCTATGTATGGGTGAACGAGATCCGGATTTGCTCTTTTGTGTAAAGCATGCTTGGCAACTATGGTTTCCATTCAACAGAGTGCCGACCCGATCGTGGCGTTATCAATTGCATTTGAGGATTACAGGCTTAGGCATTGGAAATGACACAATTCATCAGTGACCGTGGGGTATATGCCAAGGTAATATCATGGGGTAGGCAATTACTTGCAACCAGCTAATGATTACCGTACCTTTTTATCATATCACAGGTCACGTCGTTTGGTAATTACAAGTCGCGTTACATCTTACATGAAGGTAGTGAAAAAGGGCAAGCTGGCAGTTATGGGACGAAGGTAGGGCTCAAGTTGTTTTACAGGTATGGTGATGAGGAGCAACCACTTTACAGAGGCGCCTTTTGGTTTTCATACTGCAGGATGCGGTTCCACTTTATCTACTACTCCACAGCAACCATGCCACGCACCCATGCCACACACACCCATGTCGACCATTCGCAGCTCTCCATCCACCTACAACACGCATCTGGTTTTGTTACCCATTCCTGAACCACCCCAGCGGTGATAAGACAACAGTATCAGTATGCAAAACCAACAAAGGCAAGTCTTCATTTGCACGCTATTATGACGATACGCATCTTCGTGGGCACCCTCTACCACACACCGTTTGCTAATGCCCTCATCTCATTATCGAATTACAATCGTGTTGTTGACTCGGGATAGAACCAACGAAGGAGAAGCTGAGTACATGGCGTACCCTTTGATGCACATAAATGACAATGGCCCATCTCCATGCACCTTTCTACACCCAGCACTACCCAACATCTCTCACACCTAGCTGCTTCCATAGCAACCTATATGCCTACTATCACTATGTGTGGATAAATGATTGTTTATTTGATATATAAAAGCTACAACATATAAAAGAGAAGCCACTGTGCTTATAGACATTGTATTACTTGTATAAGAAGACGACCACAACAGATGCATTTGCATATAAGAAAAGCTTTATTCAATCAAAGTAAACAACTAGCTGTGCCAACTCTTAGCCCATCATAAAGATGGTTTCCAGGCGTGACCACGAGGAGGTGGTTGGCAATCCACGCCCTAGTTTAAGGTCGTTTCGGACCATCTATCCTAATACTAAGCTAAAATCGTGGTCGTATTCGTATTTGTGTTCGTAGTCGTAGTCGTATTCGTATTCGTATTCGTATTCGTATTCGTATTCGTATTCGTATTCGTATTCGTATTCGTATTCGTATTCGTATTCGTATTCGTATTCGTATTCGTATTCGTATTCGTATTCGTATTCGTAATCGTAATCGTATTCGTATTCGTGTTCATAGTCGTGTTCGTAGTCGTGTGCTGAAAATCGTGAAGAAAACTTGCTGTGGAAAGCACTTTCTTTTATAGTTTTTTGGGGCTGCCGCAGCAGCTCGAAAATGTGACTTCGCTCGCTCGCGACCGAACCAATCGTTGCGATGCTCACGCGACCTTACGGGTACCCTGACCTCATTGCGAATCCGGGAACTGAGACCGAACCAATCGTTGGCAAGCTGACGCGTTCTTACCGAATCCATTCTCTCCTTGTGAAACCTTGACCTGGTGACCTTTTTTTCGTTCTCTGTCGCCCTCAATTGCAAGGAAACGCTCAACTCAACATGCATTTTACCATTAGAAAAGTGGATTCGGCTCATTGAGGCGATTCGAATGGTACCCTATTCGCCATGATTCGGCTCACTTTGGTATTTCCCATTTCACAGTGGTCGTGTAACCAAGATTTCTTCCTTTTTGAGGTTACACAAAGCGCGCGCTGCTACCGAGCAGTTCACCGTAAACAAGCACTACGCGTTTAAATTCAAATAAACTACCTTTTCCAGCTTAGAAAAGTAGATTCGGCTTGTTGAGGCGATTCGAATGGTACCTTGTTTGTCATGGTTCGGCTCACTTTGGTATTTCCCATTTCGCAGCGGTGGTGTAACAAAGATTTCTTCCTTTTTGAGGTTACACAAAGCGCGCGCTGCTACCGAGCAGTTCACCGTAAACCATTCTGACGCGTTCAATTTGAAATAAACGTCCTTTGCCAGCTTAGAAAAGTCGATTCCGCTCGTCGAGGCGGTTGGAATGGTACCTTGTTTGTCATGGTTTAGCTTCCTTTAGATTTTCATCCCATAGTCGTCATGGGGACGGGGATTTCGTCTTTCGGTTAAGGTTGCACTTTTCTGCGTAAGTTGGCCGCAAGCCGCTAGAGCGCGTTCACTCTCAAATAAACTAGCTTTGGTCAATTGGAAGAGATTTTTTGTCTCATTGAGGCTGTTCCAAGTGCAAAGTGGGGGACCTCTGTAGTTCACTCAAATCAGCTCGGTTCAAAACATCTGAATGATGGAAATGAATCTTGGAGCAGGCGCATTTACCATACGTTGCCAAATCCACAATGGACTCAATTGGGTGGAATTGGCTAATAGCTCGCAGTGCATGAATGACCGTGATACAGTGTACGCATATCATCCATTGCTCTTTTAATCCTTTTTTCTTCACTTTCGTATACAAACATCGCCTTTCGCACCTATCTGACTATAAATGTACATATGAGTCACAATTGAAAAAGACCCACCTTTATAATAGCAAAACATACATGCACCTGTAACTCAAAACCTTTCAATGAAGCATGGGCTCTTTTTGATACCAGCATGCTCGGCATGGTCAAAAGTATCTTGTGTGAAAGTATCAAGCTCGAACTCGTCAATAGCAATTTTTGGATTTGTGGATGGCCAGCCAAAAAAGTTTCAAGAGGTCGACCTGATTTCATGGCCAAATTGGAGATTGACGAGTTCGATCCTGAAACTGGCACACAAGGTTGCTTGAGCTGGGCTGAGCACGGTGGTTGCAAAAAGAGCCCATGCTTCATTGAAAGCTTTCGAGTTACAGGTGCGTGTATGTTTTGCAAAGCTGCAGCTATTATAAAGTCATCTTTTTCAATTGTCACTCATATAACCACTTATAGTGCAATAGCTGCACGAGGCCGTGTTTGGGTAAGAAAGCAAAGAAAACAGCATTAAAAGAGCAATGGATCATATGTATACGCCATGTCACAGTCATTCATACATTGCTAGCCATTAGCCAATTCCACCCAATCAAAACCATCATCGATTTCATAACGTATGAAAGATGCACCTGCTCCAAAGATTCACTTTGATGGTTTGATTAGATTGATCCGAGCCGATTTGAGGAAATTATGGCCAAGTAACGGGTACATCGGTTCCAACATGCAAGGTACACGGGTGTATGGAGTAGCCAAAGCCTGGTCTAAGCGTAGCTCATCCAAATTGGCTCGGATCAATTTAAGTAAACCATGGAACGGAACCTTGGAGCAGGCGTATTCACCACACGTTGTCAAATCCACAATGGGTTCAATTGGATGGACTTGGTTAATAGCTTCCAATCTATGAAGGACCATCAGACAGTGTACCCATATCATCCATTGCTCTTTTAATCCTTTTTTCTTCGCTTTCGTATACAAACATCGCCTTTAGCACCTACCTCACTATAAATGTGCATATGAGTCACAATTGAAAAAGACACACCTTTATAATAGCAAAGCATACCCGCACCTGTAACTCGAAATCTTTCAATGAAGCATGGGCTGGTTTTGGAACCAGCATGCTCAGCATGGTCGAAACTGCCTTGTGTGAAAGTATCAAGCTCGAACTCGTCAATAGGAATTTTTGCATTTGTGGGGCCAAAAAGTTTCAAGAGGTCGACCTGATTTCATTTTGGCGGGTGGTGACATGGCCAAATTTGAGATTGACGAGTTCGATCCTGAAACGTGCACACAAGGTTGCTTGAGCTGGGCTGAGCACGTTGGTTCCAAAATGAGCCCATGCTTCATTGTGGCATTTTGAGTTATGGCTGTCGTTATGCTGTAGACATGATGCTACAAAATGAAAGATTGTCTTGGGCTCATTCTTAATCACCTCAATCATACTATAATAGATCGGGAGCTGCAGCTGGATCTGTCTGCATTACAAAGGCAAGCAGATGCGATCAAGATCGATAACGAGCACGAGCCTAAAAAACTTGCAATCGAAGTACCATAATAACAACCCCACCTTGGCACAAGATTGAACACACAGAAAACACCATTGCTAACGCGATTGCCTTTTATTCATACAGCTTTCCTTATGTCCCATATCAATTATACTATTATCTTCCTACATGCGATGTCACGAGTTTCACCCTCGGTCTATGGATCTTGTTTTTATATGTTGTACCTTATATAGATGAGTGCCCCATCATTCATTCGGGCACCTCGTGAAAGACAACAATAGTAAAGCCTGTTTCCATGGAGAGATTGGTTGCGTGGGCTACGATAGCGGTGTGTATGTTACATGCATGCATGTTGGTAGTGGCTGATTTGCATGTGTTTGTGTCAAAGGGGTGATTTGTCTACTCAGCTTCTCCTTGCTGCTTCTTACCCAGACCTCACAACAGCACAATCGTGGTTCGACATGCAGCCCCTCATTAGTCACCGACATGTGCAAAAGAGTGTCAACGAAGGTACGTAACGTGTTAATACAGTGTAAAAGCCGACTTGCCTTTGTTCGTTGTGTATACTGACAGGCGTGTGTTTTTACAGCTTTCTTGTTTCAGGAATGTCGACAATTTCAGGATTGAGAGAGGAATGTGGAAAGAGATTCTGTTCACGAACGGCAAAGGTTGCACTGCTGATGAGGTAAGCAAGACCACTTGAAACGTGTGCAGCAAAGGCATTCATTGGTGTGCTCTATAGGCGTGTTTCTTGTACTCAATAGCAGCAACCTTTGTCCCGCGATTGGATCACGTGATGCAAAGCAACAACCGAGCATGGGAAAATGTTTCGTCTATTGGAGATGGTATGTACAAAGAGCAGTGATACTGAAGACAAGGGAGTGTATCATGGGAGGATGACTAATGGAGTAGAGCAGAGTCCTCAAGAATTGTCACCATCATTGAATTTGCTCATTCCTGGTGATGTGGATGCATTGGATGGGATGGTACCAAGCCTGGTATGTGCACGGTAACAATGCAAGGCATAATGCTGATACGCTTGCTCTTCTTGGAAGGTGCCTCAAGACCATGCAGCAACGCAACTTATAAACATTCATCGTATCGGACCATCGTGATACCCGGTGTGTTTGGATATACTTTTCATTGGTCACTCTTTCCGGTAATGTGTATTCAAGTGCATTGGATTTTGATTCGCAAGTACTAAGGCCTCTCTATTTAGTAGGTCGCTATTGTGGGTCTTTATGGTGGTCGGTTTGGGCAAACATTTTTGAAGAGCTTTGCGTACACAAAGGCATTGGTATGTGGAATACATGAGGAGAGATTGCTTGCAAAGGAAACATTGGTCACTATTTCAAGGTGCTTACTGTATCATCATCTTTTTCATGGTCCATCTCTTGTAGGATGAACACTGGGTTGGTTATTGAATTGGATTGTTTCAGCGCAAGGGATCCACCAAAGAATAATGACAAGCACCAATGATACCCTTTAGTCATCCAAGTCCTATGTCATGGTCGAACCTCCACATTCCTTCATGTCTTTGCCATCAGTGTATTCCATGAGCATTCCTGCAAATGCTGGGCATGTCACGATTGCACATCGTATATATGGAGCTGATCAAATCCAGTATCGTGATGTTTCTTTGGGTGAATGAGGTAGGTTGGATGATGGGCATTTTGGGATATTCGTGTTTACGGAGGATGCAGGAGGTATACATTGACCCAATCCGGGATCCTGTACGCGTTCAATCAAGCCACCAGGGAAACGGTATCAGCTTTGGGATTGCGATAGTGATGGATGAGCCCCTCAAGATGCAGCAAGCATGGCATGTGGATCGTGCCTAGGCAACGTGGCGTGGCGATTTACAGGAACCTTTCTATTTGGGAGAAGAGGTACCGCTGTGAGCGATTACATTCGTTGTATTGGGATTGGATCAGGACATATGGTATGTACATGACTAGTTTGGATATTATAGTCCATAACAGCTCTTTGAGGGGTGTGGCTCTTGTATGGTTGCTAATGCAGCTCTCTTTCATTGTATGTCGTAGCCCCTTTATTGGTGATCCACAATTGAGGACTCTAAACGTACATCACTCGTGACCAGGCAATCGGTTCGATATGATGTTTCGTCTCTTGGTTACGGCATCGTCGATACAGCTTCGCATTTTCGCTTGTACTTGCTTCGGCATCCTTATTTGACATTCTTTCTTTCCTTCAACAACCCAAAGACGCTGGAATTTGAAAGGGGAATAGATAGGAACACATCCATTCAGCTAAAGCCTTCGGAGCTAGATAGTTTTTCAATATCAATCTTAGAATACAATATTCTCGCCTTCATACCCAGCTCTTGTGCGAGACAATTGACAATCATTAAAGATAACTTGTTATTTAAGATTAGGCTTCACGCATAACAAAAACATAAAGATGGCCGTTACTCAAAATCTCACAATGACGCATGGGGTCGTGAATAGAACCAACATGCTCAGCATGGCCCGAGGTATCTTGTGTGATAGTACAAGCACGAGGTCGTCAATCAAAAGTTTCATGTTAGTCGATGCTAGCCAAAAAAGTTTCACGAGGTTGGATGCTTGACTTTCATAATTCGTTCAATTCTTGCCTTTTGGTAGATCATATCTCCTTGCATGATGATTGATTTCGGATTAGTAAGAACACGTTTATAAATGAAAGATAAGATTTATCAAAAATCACAAAAAAAATAGCTGCGCCAACTCTTAGCCCATCATAAAGATGGTTTCCAGGCGTGACCACGAGGAGGTGGTTGGCAATCCACGCCCTAGTTTAAGGTCGTTTCGGACCATCTATCCTAATACTAAGCTAAAATCGTGGTCGTAATCGTATTCGTATTCGTATTCGTATTCGTATTCGTATTCGTATTCGTATTCGTATTCGTATTCGTATTCGTATTCGTATTCGTATTCGTATTCGTATTCGTATTCGTATTCGTATTCGTGGTCGTATTCGTATTCGTATTCGTGTTCGTGTTCGTAGTCGTGTGCTGAAATTGTGAAGAAAACTTGCTGTGGAAAGCACTTTCTTATATAGTTTTTTGGGGCTGCCGCAGCAGCTTCAAAATGTGACTTCGCTCGCTCGCGACCGAACCAATCGTTGCGATGCTCACGCGACTTTACGCGTACCCTGCTCTCATTGCGAATTCGGGAACTGAGACGGAACCAATCGTTGGCAGGCTGACACGTTCTTGCCGAATCCATTCTCTCCTTGTGAAACCTTGACCTGGTGACCTTTTTTTTCGTTCTCTGTCGCCCTCAATTACAAGGAAACGCTCAACTCAACATGCATTTTACCATTAGAAAAGTGGATTCGGCTCATTGAGGCGATTCGAATGGTACCCTATTCGCCATCATTCGGCTCACTTTCGTATGTCTCATTTCACAGTGGCCGTGTAACCAAGATCTCTTTCCTTTTCGAGGTTACACAAAGCGCGCGCTGCTACCCGACAGATAGCCGTAAACAGTCACCACGCGTTTAAATTCAAGTAAACTACCTTTTCCAGCTTAGAAAAGTGGATTCGGCTCGTTGAGGCGATTCGCATGGTACCCTATTCGTCATGATTCGGCTCACTTTGGTATTTCACATTTCACAGCGGTGGTGTAACCAAGGTTTCTTTCTTTGTGAGGTTACACAAAGCGCGCGCTGCAACCGAGCAGTTCACCGTAAACCATCCTGACGCGTTCAATTTCAAATAAACTTCCTTTGCCAGGTTAGAAAAGTCGATTCTGCTCATTGAGGCGGTTCGAATGGTACCGTGTTTGTCATGATTTAACTTCCTTTAGATTTTCATCCAATGGTCGTCATGGAGACGGGGATTTCCTTTTTCGGTTTAGGTTGCGCCCTTCTGCGTAAGTTGGCCGCATGCCGCTAGAACGCGTTCACTCTCAAATAAACTAGTTTTGGTCAATTGGAAGAGATTTTTTGTCTCATTGAGGCTATTCCAAGTATAAAGTGGTGGACCTCTGTAATTCACTGAAATCACCTCAGGTCACGAGAATTGAAGGACGGAACTGCATCTTTGGAGCTGGCGTATTCACCATACGTTGCCAAATGCACAATGGGCTCCATTGAGTGGAGTTGGGTAATAGCCTCCAATCTATGAAGGACATTCAGACTCATTAACCCATATCGTTCTTGGTGGTTTCAATCCTTTTTCTTCGCTTTTGTATACACACACCGCCTTTAGCACCTATCTCACTATAAATGTACATATGAGTCACAATTGAAAGAGACCACTTTTATAATAGCAGCGCTTTGGAAAACATACACATCACCTGTAACTCAAAAACTTTCAATGAAGCATGGGCTCCTTTTGGAACCAGCATGCTCAGCATGGTCAAAAGTACCTTGTGGGAAAGTTTCAGGATCGAACTCGTCAATAGCAAATTTTTTGTTTGTCGATGGCCAGCGAAGAAGTTTCAAGAGGTCGACCTGATTTCATTTTGGCGGGTGGTGACATGGCCAAATTTGAGATTGACGAGTTCGGTCTTGAAACTGGTACACAAGGTTGCTTGAGCTTGGCTGAGCACGGTGGTTGCAAAAAGAGCCCATGCTTCATTGTGACATTTTGTGTGATGGATGTCGTTATGCTGTAAACATGATGCCATATAAAAAGTTGTCTTTTTCAATCGTCACCCATATAACCACGTATAGTGCAATAGCTGCACGAGGCCGTGTTTGGGTAAGAAAGCAAAGAAAACAGCATTAAAAGAGCAATGGATCATATGTATACGCCATGTCACAGTCATTCATACATTGCTCGCTATCAGCCAATTCCACCCAATCCAGCCCATTGTGGGCTTGATACCATATGAAAAATGCGTCTGCTCCAAAGATTCATTTCCTATATTCAAGTGTCTTGATACGAGCGGATTTGAGGAAATTACGGCCACGTAGCGTGTACATCGGTCCCAACATGCAGCGTACACAGATGTATGCAGTAGCCAAAACCTGATTTAAGCGTAGCTCATCCAAATCGGCTCGGATCAATGTAATTAAACCATGGATCTGATCCTTGAAGCAGGCGCATTCACCACACGTTGTCAAATCCACAATGGGCTCAATTGGGTAGATTTGGCTTATAGCTCGCAGTGTATGAATGACCGTGATACAGTGTACGCATATCATCCATTGATCTTTTAGTCCTTTTTTCTTCGCTTTCGTATACAAACATCGCCTTTCGCACCTATCTCACTATAAATGTACATATGAGTCACAATCGAAAATGACCCACGTTTATAATAGCAAAACATACATGTACCTGTAACTCAAAACCTTTCAATCAAGCATAGGCTCCTTTTGATACCAGCATGCTCAGCATGGTCAAAAGTATCTTGTGGGAAAGTTTCAGGATCGAACTCGTCAATAACAAATTTTTTGGTTTGTCGATGGCCAGCGAAAAAGTTTCAAGAGGTCGACCTGTTTTCATTTTGGCGAGTGGTGACATGGCCAAATTTGAGATTGGCGAGTTCGGTCTTGAAACTGGCACACAAGGTTGCGTGCGCTGGGCTGGGCACGTTGGTTTCAAAAAGAGCCCATGCTTCATTGAGGGGTTTCAGGTTATGGATGGTTGTCTTTATGCTGTAAAGATGATACTATATGGGAAAGTCATCTTTTTCGATTGTCACTCATATACCCACTTGTAGTGAAATAGCTGGGGAAGGCCGTGTTTCGGTACGAAAGCAAAGAAAATAGGATTAAAAGAGCATTGGATAATGTGTATCCGCTATCTCAAAGTCATTCATAGATTGCTAGCTATCAGCCAATTGCACCCAATACAGACCATTGTGGATTTGCCAACATACGAAAAATGCGCCTGCTCCAAAGATTCGTATGCGTCCTTCAATTACATTGATCCGAGCCAATTTGAGGAAATTACAGCCAAGTAGCGGGTACATCGCTCCCAACATGCAACCTATACGGGTGTATGGATTAGACAAAACTTGGTCTAAGAGTAGCTCATCCAAATTGGCTCGGATCAATGCAATTAAACCATGAAGCGGAACCTTGGACCAGGCACATTCACCACATGTTGTCAAATCCACAATCGGCTCAATTGGGTGGAATTGGGTAATAGCATCCAATCTATGAAGGACCATCAGACAGTGTACCCATATCATCCATTGCTGTTTTAATTCTTTTTTCTTGGCTTTCATATCCAAATACCATCTTTCGCATGTATCTCACTATAAATGTACATATGAGTCACAATTGAAAAAGACCCGACTTTATAATAGCAAACCATTCACGCACGTGTAACTCAAAATCTCAGAGTGAAGCATGGGCTCTTTTTGATACTAGCATGCTCAGCATGGTCGAAAGTACCTTGTGTGAAAGTTTCAGGATCGAACTCGTCAATAGCAATTTTTGGATTTGTGGATGGCCAGCCAAAAAAGTTTCAAGAGGTCGACCTGTTTTCATCTTGGGCAGGTGGTGACATGGTGAAATTTGGGATTGACGAGGTCGATCGTGAAACGCGCACACAAGGTTGCTTGAGCTTGGCTGAGCACGGTGGTTCCAAAAAGAGCCCATGTTTCATTTTAAAGTTTAGAGATACTGGTACCTGTATGTTTCACATATGCTGTAAGCGTGATGGTATATGAAAAGAGGTCATTGTTCATTGTAAAGTAGCTAGACCCAGATAGAGCCAAAGATGCAGAGGCGCGTGTTGTGTAACGCAGCTCATTACACATGACCGGAAGCGGCAATGTATGATATCCGGTAGCAGCCAATCATTGACAGCTAATAGCCCATTCACCCTATTTTCATTTACTAACCAATACACTGCATACGAACGATTCTCCTGCTCCAGCCCATCATTCCCATCTTTTAATTTTCTCGATCCGAGCCGATTTGACTGAGCTACGCTGAAACAGCAAACATGAGAATTAATGAATCGCATACCCTGCGAATGTCTCCGCCTTTCAAACTTTTGGACGCGCCCATTCCAAATTTTCAAATGAAGTGTGAAGTCTTTATTAAAAAATGTTGATCAGCATGCTCGAGAGCACCATTCAGACCAATTTTCAAGTTGGAGGTGGCCAACTTCGGGGCGTGCTGGCCGTCCTCTTTTTGTTAGCATCGTCCACCATTTGGGTCCCCCCGCATTTTAAAAATTCACAATAAAGTATGGCAATTTTAAATGAATGACGGTGATCAGCATGTCCCAGCGAACCTTCTGGCAAAGTTTCAAGTCCTAAATGGGGAATCCCAAGGTAATACATACTACATCGGTAAATCTTGAATCTGGCGCGGATCTCCATTTCCGGCTTACATAGTAAACCCACCTTACATCCTCCCATTCAATAATTTTGAATGAACATAGGGTCTTTTTTTAGGACAACGTGATGAGCATGCCCAAGAGCACCTTGTGTGAAAGTTTCACTTTCGAGAGAGGCAATCTCACTATCAAGCTATGATGTACAGTGTTCTTGCATATGTACAAGAGGTGTCCACCCTATTGAATTTCCACTTCTTCCACTCACACTTTATCTTCTCTTCCTCCCATTCTCACGTGTTGGCCCATTCAAGTACAACTATGTACAAGCTGCCAAGGATGGTCCTGCGTGAACCCATCATGGCAATCCTAGGACTCTCGTGATCCGATTGCCTTTGGTTGAATGGCAAATGGATGTATAATATCAGCCATCGTACATATTTTGGCGAAGAGGTATCTGCTCCCTAAAAAGAGTGAATTGCAACATCACTTTGGCACTAGACAACATAGGAAAGGCATTCATACTATACTACGAACGTGTATGTCGCTATTTATTGTGGAAAGCGCGAGACGCAGCAGTACAATGTCATGCACAAAGGAGTGATCGATGTAGGCAGGATGTAGCTATGAATGCCGTTTTGGTTTACCAATTATTATTGCATCTCTCGGATATGATATCAATAAAAGGAGCGAGAATGATGACGATGATGATCGTTTATTTGCTATTCTACGATGCTACATACATGTCGATACTTTAACGAGGTTGCTGTTCCACATGTGGTATGTGCTTTCGTAACAAGTCCATCAGGTAGTCTTCCACAGGTGCGATGATGATGACATTCTTGAGGTTGGCAAACGACAAGAGGCGAATGATATCTCTGGCACTGATTGATGAAGCATGGACATGGAGGCATTCGAGCGTAGGCCGATCATTGATTTGGGAAATGAATCCTTCAGGTGCTGGATTACGACCAAAGTCCAACT